ACGCCAGCTCCTGATCAAACCACTGAAGAGTAATCAGTATTACTGTGTTTAGACCTTAGTAGTATCGGTGGTGGCTGAATTACTATCAGTTAGGTCTTAGTGTACCACCTAATCTACAGCTCCTGTTCCTCAAATATCATCATTTTTATTCCTTTACATTCCCAGTGGAACATAGGGAGGCTTCAAGCTAGAGGCTTGAAGTTTTGGTAACAGTCTTGTTTATATTTTTACGAGATGTGGTTGCTAGCCAGCCTCATGCCTAACCTTCTCTCTTCACCAGTCTTATTTACTGGCTTAACGAAGTAGAGGAGTGAGTCGGCCGGGGATCGAACCCCGAACCACGTGAGGCGTAGCTGGCGAGCATTCTACCGCTGTGCGACCGACGCACACTCTAAATATCATAACAGTCAAATACTACTCAATAAAATAGAAATAGATGGTGTGCATGCCAGTCTCCTGTGGCAAGCTGTTATTCAGGGTTATAATCTTTACTAGTTGTCAGAAGATTTTAATTGAAATCACATCATTAACAGCTGACCAAAAATATTGATTACTATTTATACCAGCATATAATAATAGTAATGATTTTTAATAATAACTGAAAAGATTTCAGTTATCAAATATATAAAAAAACAACACAGAATCAGTTGTAAATCAGTTATGTTACAAAAAAATCAAAATGCATCTATCTATGTGTGTAATTAATAATCCAGACGTTTATCAAATTAATTTGCATAGCAAATCAGACGTGTCAATTTCAAACTGTCACTTACTACTTATGACATAAATAAAAAAATGATACATACTGTGAACTCTGCAAGCTGTAATAACACTGATATCACTTTTGAACTTCTTATATAGTTATCTTGATAACTTTCTTATTGATTCACGATGGTAAACACTTACCTTGAGTTATTATGGTTAAATATATCATCAGATTTAAACAATGTCTGAGAAACTTCTATTAATACTTCATTTTGGACTTTCCCGTTTGAAAATTTGAGTACTGCGTTCAAACCTCAGTGGGAGCAGTATCACTAACTGGGGAATCTTTGTCTGTCTGTTTTCGACAAAGAACTTACCACCGATGTGCGACAGTTCAAGTCGCCACACTCCCTCCATGGAGCACACAGAGCAAGAGAAGAAAGTAGAAGAAATGCATATTAGAGACAGTAAACAGAGGTGTGAGACAAAAGGATAGTATTTGCATCTGCGCCATTGAGAACGATTTTGAGCCATAACACCAACTGTCTCCAACCATTGGTTTTTACCGTCCCGGGGACCCCAACCAGGAAGTTTACATCTTCCTACATGGTTTAAACTAACTGTTATGGATTTCATTGACTGATAAAACCATGTTTTGGTTTGATCACCTCTAGCTACTTCTTTTCCAACCTGATCCATCCTATGTCAGTCAGCTAACATTGCTCGTCGAGGAAGGCGATGACTAGGCATACGTAACACATGTCCCAACCATCTCAATCGATGTAACTTCACAGCTTCGTCAATTGATTTTCCCTCCTTATCTAGAACTCGACGCCTGACCTCAATATTGCTCACCTTATTATACCACTTCACACGGGAGATAGAGTGCAGGCACCTATGATCAAAGAAAGCTAATCTTTTCATGTCTTCCACTCTCAATGGCCAGGTCCCATTCACAGCCATAAAGGAGGACGGAGCGGACTGGTGAGCAGTACAACTGCCCTTTGGTCGATAACCAGCTGGATATCACGTCTACACCAGAGATGGTGTAAGTTGGTATATGCGAAACTAGCCTTCTGTATCCGTACTGGGATTTCGTGAGAGATCAACCCGTTGGGGCTGATGGTACTTCCCAAATAAGTGAAGCGGTTAATGTGCTCTATCACTTCATTCCCTATTTCTAAACTAGGAGTCATAAACCTGCACTGGGGAATGCAGGTGCATGCGGTCAATGAGTCCAAAATAGGACGAAATATGCATCATGAATTCCACTCCTAGTCACAAATCTACCAATTTACTTCAAATGTCTAAACACTTCTTATCGCTTGCATAATTGGTTGTTATTATTAAAGTCTAAGTTGCATATTTTGTAAGCTCAGAAAACTTAATACTAAAACATTCATCCACTGAATAATTTATGTCTTCTTATTCATCTTTTTGCTCACTGACACTTGATTCTAGTTTTGAAAAATGTTATGTTATCTGCCTGGCAAACCATAGATTAGTTGTGAATAGTACGAGAATGGTGCATCGATGATTCGATTGGTGAAATTGCTCGCCAATCACGTGAGATGTTCGGATTCTATCCTCAGCCAACATACTCAGCAACTTTACCTAACCACTAGTAAACCAGGTAAAGGTGTCTGTGAAGCTAACAAACCCACCCGCTAGGAAATAACACCACATCTACTGAAACTTCAAAAGTTCTCTGTCGCATTCAGAGTACAAGGAATGCAAAAAAGGCATTGGAATGGTTTCTAGAAGAAAATGAAAGTTTGAATTACATTAATGTTTAAATTGTTGAGCACTTTGACAATATGGAATATGAGCTACAAAATTTGATAGATAAACAGACTTCTAATTCACTTTTAGGATTTCATCATGAGTTGACATTGGTTAGAGAACCGTTGGAAAACCTGGGAGTACTGGACAGCTGTTTCGTCCCAAGCTAGGGCGAAACAGCTGTCCAGTACTCCCAGGTTTTCCAACGGTTCTCTAACCAATGTCAAATCATGATGAAATCCTGTAACCAACCAAATCCCTACAAACTGTGCTAAGATAAGATATTCTCTTTAGCGCCTGGCGTGGAGATCGTGTGAGGAGCAGACCAAAGACTATGAGCAATTGTGGGGCCAGGTAGAGGGCGCCGCAGAAAATAAAACAAAGTGGAGATGTCCTATCGAAGCCATATGCCTAACTCGGAACCCAGGGGAACAATAATAATAATTTAGTGTGGACACAGTGTATTTATTTAGCTTTCGTTAAACCGTTTAACTAATAGTTCGTTAAGCTTAAATCGCTAGACAAGAACGTTAGGTACTCTGTAGACACTATATACCTATCTATATGTCTAAAATCAGCAATTAACAAGTCCTTTATGTTCTTCACTCCAACATTATGAACAAGGGGCTAAAACTTATTCATATCTCACTAAGTACATATCCTGTTCACAATGTAGAATTCACTATACATAGAATTAATTGGTGAGTTATGATAGCAATGAAACTGCCATTCTCTATTCTCAGCAGAGTAAAGCAACAAAGATCATCACAAGTTGTGTGTAACGCCTATAGTAGTGTTCTGTAATTTAAGTAATAAAATAATAATAAATACAGATTGTACACATTTAAAAAAATGCATGATAAATGGCTATTTTTTATTTTATACTGAAATTAACCGGTATGTTACTGAGTTATTCAAACTAGCCTAGAAGCATGTCGTTTACGTTCAGCCTTTATGCTTTATTCCATTTCATCCCGAGTGGAACATCTTGCTGCAGGCTCAAGCTTTGACATTTCAGTAGCACTGGTTCTATTTTTACGGAGTGGGGTTACTACTCTCATACTCATCCCTCCCTCTTTACTGGCCTAACTGCCAGCTAACCCAACTTTAGGACTATTGGTTAGGGTTCAGACCCTGGAGCACATGAGGTGTGGTTGCTGAGCTTTCTACCACAACACCACCAACGCATACATGGTTATTTTATTCTAGTGAACTTCGAAGCGTAGAAACGTACTTGTTCTTAATTTGTTGAAATAGTTAGATAAATTTGAATTACGATTAACTGGCGTACAACGTCAGTTTACATAATATGAGGACGAAATTAAAGTGAGTATTTCTACATTACAATCAACAGTCCTTATAAAATTATTTAAACATTTTCATGTTGATTTTAACTTTTCATGCGGATAGACTAATGTGTACAAGTTTTATGCACAAGTTCATTTCACTTTTTAAACATCTAAGTTTCTTAGTCCAACCGGTCTGCTTACACAACTGATCAGCCGGACTCTGAGAGATTGAAACAGCGGCATAATATCTGGACCAACTCGATCTGGTTATTATGAGCGATCCTTAATTACTCGAATCAGTTTGTGATGTGGATTACATGTTGATTCTGTATAGTCTAACCATTTGTATATCCAAAGCTAATCAGGATAATTGGAAAGCAGGTTAAATGATATAACAAAAGATTCCGGACACTTCATTTGAGTGTTATTATTATTATTCCATTGAAACATAGAGCATCAGAATTATATCTCCATTGCATTCGGTCATCTACATCTTTTTGGCTGGCCTCTCCCTCCCCACAACATCTCCTCCATGTTACCCTTTGACCAACACCCACCTCATCGCTTTCGATCTGCGTTCTACTCAATGGCCTGGTGCCTGATTTCAGTCAACGGTTTCCTCAGTGTAGGTTCAATCTATCACCACTTACTTCTGCAAATTTATTGGGCGGTAGGTTTTTGGTTGGTCCGTCGTCAGTATTCTTTGTTGCTAAGTCTATCCAGCTAGCTATCTAATCTTCAGTATGACTTTACAATCACTCTATTATGGAAGTTAAGTGGTCGTTTCAGCTCATTTTGTGTCGGTGGTTCAGTGGTAGAACGCTTGCTAACCACACATGTGTGATCCGGGGTTCGATCCCTGGCCGACGCACTCTAAGATATCGCTAAGCTGGCAGTCAATCCAATAAAGAAAGAACGTTGGGCATGAGACTAGCAACCCTATACCGTAAAAATAAAATCACTGCTACCAAGACGTCAAAGCTCAAGCTTGAAGCCCCCCTATGTTCCACTGGGAACGTAAAGGAATAAAATAAATAGTCAATTCATTTTTGCAACTTATATTACCTACCCTACAGTTTTGGTGATATCCACTCGTGTTAATTCGAATGGAACCGTTTTTATTGAAATAAAACAGACAAGCAAAAGCGGATTATTATTATTATTATTCAGCTTAAAAGTCCAACTTTTGTTGTAATCATAATTATTATATCCATTTTGTTCAAGACTGAAAACTATCGCGATGATTCAGTGACAAACCTTGCTCATGCACCTAGTCCAGTCCCAGATTTTGCAAGAGCAATATCTAGCTTGTCACCAGTTTCTCTTGGAAGAAAATTTCGACAAAATGATATAAAACGACAAGATATTGACAGGATATCTACAACTGCACAACCGCCAAGACAATCGTCCTCTAGATTCATTAAAACTTCTCATGAAGAGTTAAAAGCCTTACCTTTATTAGTTGGTAAGTCCAAATAATTGATTGATTTAAACTTGAATGTGTTTTGAGTTATTTTATGATAAGAATAAAGTTACATTTACTTCTGGCCACATACAGAACAAAATGAGTGTGTAGAGTGTAAGGAGAAGATTTTTACAATTTCTCATTAGAAATATTGAAATATTTGCAAGAACTATAAACTAATTAACTTAGGTATTATTGTATAGGTGAAATCAATACTTTCAAACATTTAGTGAGTCGTTTCAAAGTGATAGAGACATTTTTTTCCGCTTACGACAAAAAACTTTAATTTTATCCATACCATTCTTACTAGTTTATTGTTAATTAAATACCTTTCTAAAACAACTGACAAACGTCGAAAAGCAAGGGCTGTTTCGTCTTAATCTGTGACTCTTCAACAACGTGCATAGAAGTTACATTCCACAGATCACTAAACCCTGTCCCTGTCTCAAGTGGTTGAATAGTCGACATGCTAGAGAAATAGCTGTCCAGTACTTGCTGGTGACTTTCACTGATTTTCTGATGAATATTTATCCTTGACGAAATGTACACTGAAACTTATCCGAATTCTCACAAAAACACAATTAAAAAAGCAACCAACAAATGGTTTAGTACACTCATGAAATATCGTTAATTCCCCCCTCAGCTGAGTGTTCTACATATTTGGTTATATATACCACTTTCATTACCTTGGATATCATTACATGGATGTTAAAAACTGAAATTCCCCCCCCCCATCCTCCATGTAGTCTTCTACAAGTTATCATCGTCCAGATTATTTTATACTTTTGACTACTTCATCTTAAGTTGCCTATTATGTAATCGATTTAAATACTCATTCACTTCTTAAATACTCTTTAATTTTGATTGATTCCTGGGTTTTATCATAAGCTCACATCAGTTAGAGAACCATTGGGAAACCACCTGGGAGTACCGGACAGCTGTTTACTCCGCCCTAGTTTGGGACTCTTCATTGCTACGCACCCACTATGAGGGTTCCAACCCTAGGGCCTTGTGGTTACAAGGCGATCTCACAGACCATTAAGCCACTGGGACCCGATCCAATGGCCAGCTCATGAATTCTAACTTCTGCTAATTCATGACATGGCGCAGCCACTTCGTAATGTCTTCTCCGATGAGTTACTGCCTCACCTTCAATTTGCTGCACTCTTTAATTTCCCTAAATATTTCTGGTCTTTAATTGTTGTATTAATTTTCTTGGTTTTAATTATCATCCCCATAACATCTTGATACTGACTAATTATTGTTAACAAACTTATCACCAATAGATTGGTAAACTTTTGTGTTGTATTGAAAACTGCTATGTATGTATATATTAGAGCAGAGCCATAGATATGGATTTAACTTAAAAGTAAGTATTTCTTCGCTCAATCCTTTTGTCTTTCAGTAAATACTTAATAGTTGTGTGTCAACATTGACCCAATCGTTTTTCTGCTAAATTGCTAGTAGATAAAGTGACTAAAATATTTTCGTGAACATCTTGGCCTCCATCTAACAAATAATTTCTCATCAATATGATTTAAAATTCCTAGTATTAAAGACTTAAATGATTAATGTGGTTTCAGATATTTTAAGTTCCTTTTGACTTCTGAGTGGTTCAGTGGTTCTGAACGTGTAATACACTATGTGTTTTATAAACGACATTGGCTATTTTATCTGAACATATATATCATATCAAGATTAAATATAAAGGGCAGTAGTTCAGTTAATGGCACTGTAAACTTTCAGCGATTAAATTTGTGGGAATATATGTCGTACATGCTCAACCCCTAAATTCAATGATAAACCATGATGACAACAGTAAGGAATAAACACCAACTTCAGACGACCTTGAAATAGCCAATCAGATTCCTCTAGGTGAAAAGTAGCACGTAACTTACAAAGAAGTGTATCTACGATATATATGTAATAAAAATTAATCATATAGGGTATATATCTCTAATATGCTGCAAAATCTGGTCCCAGATTCTCATAGAAATGGTTATAGACATCTCAAACCAATGTATTATCTATTTCTCCAGCTGTAGCAGATACGCAAGGGAGAGCTTTGATTTCGAGAAGAAAGTGTCTTATATTGTCACCAATTATGTATGACTTACCAAATTATACAAACTTCCTCATATAAAATAGTTGTATATGAATGTATAACCATCAGTAGCCCGGCAATACTTTTACAGAGTCATTATCCCTCCACATATGCATGTTTTATCCCACTCTATCAACACATTTTCACAGAGAAGTCAAAAACCAAACCTAGGAGACATTTTCAAAGAGGATTAGGACTAGCAACCCTTTGTATTACTGAGCTATCTGATTGGTCAAATCAAGGTCATTTGACTTTTGTGTCTGTTAATTACTCTTGCCACTATGTTGAATGTAGCAGGCTTTAGCCTGCCTGATTGGAATGATCTAGGGTCGTGTTAGTTATTTACATAGGATAGTTAAGATATTAAGAATCAGCGATTTCAGTATCTTAATAAATTCAGGCCTAAATTAATCTGTTGTGTGTTGGATCATTTTATTACCTAGTCATTTGTACCCACATTTTAGCCATTATAATGTCATTCTGAACTGAAAGTAACCGACATGTTGCTAAGTTATTCAAAAGACATAGTGTGGTGGTGTGATACGGATAATGTGTTCCAAAGGTATATTATTCTCACATATTACCACAGTTCAGTACAGCACATTAGCAATAGAACACAATATATCTGTTTGAACATTCTATTTGATGTTAGAGACAGAATGCTTTTCCCACGGCTATGTACTGCATTACCAAAAGAATACTATGCATATTTGAACGTTCTATTTCATGTCGTTTAATGTAGGCCGAAATCACAAGCTCAGTGATTGGTTAAAGAATATAAACCATATATATATATATATATATATTATAGGTTTGATCACTATACCTTGGCTTCCGTGTTTCTCCTTCTGCTGTTACAATACAATTATGGGTGAACTAGTATTTGAACACATTTAAATAGCCTGGCAACATGTTGTTTACGTTTTGTCTTCATTCATATTCCCGTCACTATTGTAGTGACCCATCCTATTTCAAAACACAGTCATGTGACCTTTATGCGCTTTGTACTTAGTTGTACCATTATAGTACCAGTTTTTATTTGTCATGTTATTGATTAAAGTATTATTAACAATAATAGAGGTTTGTACATAATCAAATAACGTTCACACAAGTAGTTGAGTGCGTATGTCCACTGGACTAATAAGCCATATATTTATACTCAAGGTTGACTAATTGTTCTAGTATCATATTTCTCCTTATAATTTCCACACTGATGCGCACATATATACATCACGTCTATTTAGTATTCTTTTCTGACACCTAGATAACTTTGAAATAAATCCTCTCATTTAATTAAATTTGTTCAGTGAACGAAGTATTCCCATATTTGAGTCATAAGAAAAAGGCACAAACAGTGAAGAAAATTTTCTTTTCGACGATTCATTTTCATGAGGTGTACAATCGTAATTATATTTAACAAAGAATTCATAAAACCAATCAGATACTTTGTCCTTGAAAAATTCTATTACATAATGTAAGGTGCAAGAAGGGATGACTAATTGTAAGTTAGAAAGGAGACAGAAGTTGGCATGACGTGTGAGATAATGACTAATCAATAAGCTCGTGTAGAATGAACAGGAACTAGTGGAAAGGGTTATAAAGTAGTTTTGTATAAGATCTGTGTGAAAAAGCAACGTTATTAATAAACAGTAATAGAGTGGTAATAAAATGTGGATGATGGGAATAGTGATAATAATAAAAGTATTAAGAACAGTAATAATAATAATGATAGTGAACTTACATATTAAGAGAAAGGAGCAAAATTATAGTAAGAAATTTACTTTGGCCATGGTAGGGCCAGAGAATGTATGTAGCGTTTTTGTATGCACAGGTCCGGTTTTAGGTCTCGAATAGCTAGTGCCTCAGCTATGTACAGATGTCGTATCCGGAGTCCTTTTGTACGGTATTGAGGGACTCTGTGTACCACTGTGAAGCATTCATGTGGGGGGTGCTCGATGTCCGGAGATGACAAGGTGTTCGAGGATCGAGCTGTTGCTATTCTTCTTTTCTCCTCTGGCTAACCAAGCTGGGCGGTGCTCCAGAATACGTTTGACGTTGCGTAAATTTGTATTAAAGGATGAATGATGATTTTGTCTGTGTGTTTCATTTACCTTCATAGTAAAGATTTTTCTAATCAAACTGTTATTCTCAATATATATTAGTGTAAACACAACTTAGAACATATTTAAAAAATCTTCAGGTGTACGATAAGCAAGAGAAAATTTGAAGGAAACACATCTTTCAAGTATTGGTTTGCGGAGATTTCATTGTCTTCAGGTTTCATCACGAGCTGATGTCCGTTAGAGAACCACCGAAACACCAGGAAGTATTGGACAACTGTCTCGTTCTAGTTTGGGACTCTTCGTCAGTATGCACTCACTGGGGTTCGAACTTATGAACTTTCGGTCACAAGGCGAGAGAGGCCATTCAGTCACTGGGACCTGACGACCCATGAATTCCAACTTCTGCCGATTTGCTAAATATGTAGCGCAACCGCAGGCCAATGTCATCGGCGAGTAGCTGTCCACTTACCTGATTTGGTGGATTCCTCTGGTAACGACTTCTCACTAGTACTTCAGGCCAATTCCTGTATAGATGCAGTCTCTAGTATCAGAATAATTTTCAGGTGTTGCTTTGCAGGGATTTGATTAGTTACTAGTTTATTGACAAGCTTGACATTCACCAAGTTTTATTTATGTATTTGTAAGCAAGTGTGATTATTTTTCGATAACAAGTTACCTACAGAATAAAACAATGGCGTCATAAACGTTTTCAGTACCTATTCAGGTGTTGGTTTGTGGGGATTTGATTGGTTACAGGATTTCATCATGAGCTGACATTAGTTAGAGAGCCATTGTAAAACCTGGGAGTACTGGACAGCTGTCTCATCCTAGTTTGGGATTCATCAGCAGTTCCAGTACCTAACTAATTCACTAACTACCATTTCGCTGTCACACATTAAAATCTTCACCAGGTGCTTACAGGCTCTTGATTTTATGTCAGAGCGTGTTTTAATGAAAAAAACTATCCCAAACTCTCTTTTACATTTTGAATTTAATAGTGACCTATCTAATGCCTTTTGTATCTCTTTTCTTTTGTTAACATTAAATGCAATTTAGAGACACCACCAGGTGAACGAGAAACCTTATTGCTCAATAAAATACGAATGTGTTCAACTTTATTCGATTTCAATGATAGCAGTGTTCAGTTAAAATCAAAAGAGATTAAAAGGCTAACACTATTAGAATTAGCTGAATTTATTTCAATGAATTCTAGTTCACTTACTGAACCTATTTACATGGGTATTATAAATTTACTAAAAGTCAATGTCTTTCGTACAATTGTACCAACTAATACAAGTACAGAAATGTTAGATTATGCAGATAATGATGATGAACAAATGACAAATTTAGAACCATCTTGGCCACATCTTCAGGTAAGTTACCTTCGGTGTAGTTTTAAAATGTGATGTTATTATTATTCCCTTTTGTTCCACTCGGAACCCCAAGGGCTTCAATAGCACATCTCCATTTAACTATGTTTTCTGCAGTCGTCTTCATCTAGTTTCACGATTGCCGATAAGCTCTCATCTCTCCTTTATGCAATCTCTTTGATTTCATTCTCGAAGCCACTCTCTAATCATCATTCCCCATTCAAATCCCACTCGACGGTATCCATGGCGTCTCTTCGACCAATCTCCATTTTCTTCCTCATATTTGTTGGGATGGTTATATTCTATTTTTTAATTTTTGATTACAGCTTGATTCCACACCGTATTTTTGGTACAAGTATGAAATTTTCAGCATATGATATCGGTAGCCTAAATTTAGCAGGCCGACCATAGATATCAGGTGTGCATCGGCAGGGGATCTAACTCCGGACCATGTGCATGGTCGGTGAGAGTCCTAACCACTATGCCACCGACGCGGTTGGTTGTTGGTTCGTCCCCAGAGTTCTATGTTGCTAATCCTTTCTGGGGCGGTATCTGATCTTCAGAATGGGGCAAAGGCAACTGTTGATAAAAATATGAAACCTGTTGGAAATGCTTTTTTGTGCTAGACCTAGTCTCTGACCCATATCGAAGATATGACTTGACTCTTGTGTTGAAAATCCGAATCTTGATCTTTATGCTTATTGGCGTAGATTTCCAGACTTATTTTTTATAAACGAGAGTGCTACGTAATTTAGTTGGTTGTGACTAGCTGTTGAATCCAGCATGCTTATTTCATCCTATTTATCATTCATCACCTGGGTGTGCCTGCATACTCAAGTGAGAATATCATCACTCGCTGGGATACAGGTAAATTCATCTACTACTTCCCAAATAGAATGAAATGAGCATACCCAATACAACTGTTATTATTTGTTATTGGGCGAAGTACAAGAATAGCGTCCCAGGAGTGCGAACGCTCAAATGACCTTGAACGCATGCTAGTCGTTGGCTAATGGTACCTGTCATTATGATATCAACCCTATTCATTAAATAAGGAGCAAGTTTCACCCAGATAACGCTTTTAATTACTGTTTGGACAATGTGTTAACATCTCGTTAGGGTTAGGATTACGGTTAAGGCGAGTATTGGGGGTGGGGTTAGGGTTACGGTCAAAATTGGGATTAGGGTTAGATTTACGACAGGATAAGGATTGTCATTTGGGTTAGGATTAAGGTTAGGGCTAATATGAAATTTAGGATTAGGGTCAGGATTAAGGTTAGGTTTGCAATTAGGGATAGATTTTAGTTAATGTCGTTTATTTTAATTTGTTTCATCCTCATTTTCCTTGTATGTCGTCATCAATGCTCTTACTAAAACCATAATAACTTAACCGAGGGATTTGGAGAGGACTACACAGCAAGAGAAGAGAGATGAACGATTCACAAAACAGCCAATCTTCAGTCACTGGTGAATACATCTATAGAAACTAGTCCAACATAGCAACTGATGCTTTTCATCATAACTGGGACGTATTTTTAATTCATGTCAGAGAAAGATAATCTGTTTAATGTGTTTTCATGCATTTTCTTGTGAATATACGTCATTTTTTTGTGCAAAAATTCCTCATTTTTATGATTAGCAGGCTAAAGGTCACTCGTGCGTTCGCATCCCTTGGGACGCTATTGTTGAACTTTGCCTATTATTGTTATTGTTCCCTTGGGTTCCTAGTGGAGCATAGGGCCCCAACTGCACGTCTGCACTTGCTTCTGTCTTCTGCTGTACTTTTCACATGCATCCATGTTAGTCCGTACTGCTTCATCTCCTCTTCACACGATCTCCTCCATGTCACCCTTGGACGTCCCACCCGCCGCTTCCCTTTCGGCCTGGTTCCACTCGAGCAATGGCCTGACGCGCGCGCGATGTCACCCAGCGGCCTCCTCAGCGAGTGTCCAATCCATCTCCACTTTCTCCTGCATATTTGTTGTTGTTGGGCGATTGGTTCTTGTTTTGTTGTTCCCATAGTTTCTTGTTGGTGATTCTTTCCGGCCCGGCCATCTGATCTTCATTCAGTATAGAGGGAAGACATTTAGTTTTGAAGGATGAAGGTCTGGAATAGCCAGCCTGTTAGAAATATTCTTTGTGACCCGCCCGACCGCCAAGTTTCTAATCCGATCCGTATAGAAGAACTGACTGACTTTACGTTTGTATTGAAAATCCGAATTTTGTTGGTGATGCTGAGTGACGAAGATTTCCAGATTGATTTCAGGCTGATGAATGTGTTTCTCGCCTTCCCGATTCTCACTCGATTTGACATCCTCGTCCGCTCCTCCTGTAGTTGAGACAATGCTCCCTAGATAGTGAGTGAATGAAGTAACCTCTTTCAAATCCCTCCCGTTGATGGTGATTGACGTTGGATGTTGTTGCTGTTGTTGGTTGGTTATTTTCATAACCTCCGTCTTGTCTATGTTTACCTGGAGTCCTGTCTTCGCCGGCTGCTTCTTCGACCAGTTTGTCGGTTTTCGCTTGTAAGTCTTCGATTGTGTGTGACATCAAACATAAGTCATCCACGCGCGAAATCCAGGTCTTCTAGGTTCTTCACGTCGGTCCAGGATATTCCTGTCTTCTCGTTTCCCACAGTCTGACGCATAATCCAGTCAGTCCACCACAATTAGGAATATCATTGGTGATAATAAAGCACCCTTGTCTGACTCCTGTGTTTACTCCAAACGCCTCGCTGAGTCTTCCGTTGTGGATCACTTGGCAGGTGCCGTTGTCGTACAGCTGTTGAATAAGGTTGATGAATATTTGGGGTACGCCATAGTACTCGAGTAATTTCCAAATTACTTCACGGTCAACGCTGTCTGTCGAAGGCCTTCTCAAAGTCTATAAAGTTGAGGTAGAGGTTTGATTGCCATTCCATGCTTTGTTCTGTGATGATGATGCGTAGAGTTGCAATTTGGTCAGTACATGATTTGCCTTTCCTGAATCCAGCTTGTTCTGGTCGGAGTTCTGTCTCCAGTGCGTCCTTTAATCTCTCCAGGATGATGCGACTCAGGATTTTACTTGGCGTCGACAGGAGCATGATTCCTCGCCAGTTCTTGCAGAGTCAGGCCTAAGTCGCCCTTCTTTGGTAGTTTCACGAGGTAACCTTTCCTCCAGTCAGTAGGCACCTTTCCCTCCTTCCAGACCTTTTGCAATAATGGAGTCAGCATGTCTGCTGTCGTCTCTGGGTCTGCTTTCAGTGCTTCAGGGGGTATTCCATCTGGTCCGGCTGCTTTTCCAGCTTTCAGAAGCTTGATTGCATTCAAGACTTCAGCTCTCGTTGGAGGATTGGTGTCAACTTGCAGTTGTGTGCGCGCTGTTGTTGGTATTTCTGGACGGGTTGCAGGTGATGGTCGGTTCAAGAGTCCTTTGAAGTGATCCGCCCATTGTTTAATCTGTTTTTCTTCCTTGGTAATTGGGTTCCCTTGGCTGTCTTTTATAGGTTTCGCTTGTGTTGATCTCTTCCCGGATAGAGATTTGGTTATCTGATATAGTGTCCTCAGGTCCCTTTTGCCTGCTGCCTTCTCAGCTTCAGTGGCGAGGTTGTCGTAGAATCGTCTTTTGTCCTTCCTAGCACTCTTCTTCACTTCTTTGTCCAGTGCTGTGTAAGTTGAGCTCAGCGTCTCCTTCTCCTGTCCGTCCTTGCATTGAATCATTTTCTCTTTCACCATTCTCCTCTCTTCTATTAATTTCCAAGTGTCCGTTGAGAGCCATTCCTTGTCTTGTCTCTTCTTTCTTCCTAGAACCGTTGAACACGTTTCGTTGAGAATCGCCTTCAGAGACTTCCAATGTTCTTCCACGCATGATTCTTCAGTGATGTCGCGTAGTGTTTCCTGCTTTGCTCTGACAGTTGCAGTGAAGGTGTCTTTTGTGGTTGTGTCCTTCAGTAATTGAGTGTTGAACTTGCATTGTGGCCTATCCCCAGCTATCCTCGAGGCTTTTAGTTTCACCTTGAAAGTCCCTTGTACTAGATAGTGGTCTGAACCCACATCTGCTCCTCTCCTCGACCTTGTGTCCAGTAGGCTCCGTCTCCACTTCCTTGAGATTGAAATGAAGTCTGTCTGGTTTTTGGTGTTTCCATCTGGTGAAATCCATGTCGCATTTTTTAAATTCAACTGTTAGTCACCCCCTAATTAAATATAATATTATAAGTTAAACTCTAGACACCTTTGAAGGATCCAAAATAAGAGCCTATATGTCAAAAGAGATCTAGCATTTTAGTCTAACATAATCAATCAGCAGTAAATACGAATTTACTTAAACAGTGTTTGTTATGTGATCTAAAAAACCTGTAATAGAGTTTAAGAAGTGTGGTAGACTAAAAAGAAAATCAATTATTTATCGAGTAGAAGCATTTAAATACTTTGAGAAGGTTAGTAAAATACTGCTAACTTGACACTTGAATAACGTTAGGCGAAATTCACACCTAGTCATCAGTGTATAATGATATCCTCACTTAATATCGGCTTGTTTTACTACTTTGGTGAAGACTTGAGTTTTGACCAGGAGGTTAAAAATTCTGAAAATTAAATAATCACGAAATGGATAAAATAATTCTACCTTGATTATACACTGACACTAGTCAGATAATCGCTGGAAACCAGGGAGTACTAGACGGCCATTTCGTCCTAGTTTCGTTACCATCGGCAGTACCGGACCCAGGACCGCACCGGGGATAAAACTCAGGATCGTCAGGCTATGTGACGAGCTCGTTGACCAATCAGCCAGTGGGAGGGGATTAAATAGATCATGAATTAATTCCAACTTCTATCAATTCGCGATTTTTAACTCTATCACCAGCCAATGCACACTAGTGACTAGTTACTGGAAAAAGTTGCCTGGAGTTCTAGTGAGAAGTCACGACCAGTTTTGTGCACTAAATCGGGTGTGAGGACAAGCACTCGCTGATGACATTGGCTGGCAGTGGTGCTAAAGATTGCTAATTGACAGAAGTGGGCATTCATGGGCCATTCCTTCCCGTCCCAGTGGCTGAATGGTCCACGAGCTGACGATCTAATCTGAGGGTTCTGAGTTCGTAACCTGGAGGAGTCAAGGGTGGGTACTTCTGAAGAGTCCTAAACCGGGATGAAACAATTATCCACTAATCCCCTGTTTCGACTATTCTCCAGCTGATATCTACCCGTCATCAAGGTTGACGCACCAATCAAATCCCTACAAACTAACACCTGAACATGATTCTAATTTCATTTATTTCACATTGTTGAGGCATGAATCGTAAGCGATACCGGGCGTTTTTAAAATGGAAATTCAACTTATTTCTATGTTATTCCCAAACGCGGAAATTTGAACGTCCCATATAAATCTCCTGTCATGTATTTGTATTTTTTTCCTCATAATCTAGTTTCTATTTACCCATACTAAATTCTTATTTTGTTATTATATAAATTGCCTTTGAAATAATAGAGATTTGTAGCTCAGGTGGATAATTTGCGACTGCCTTTATTACTCAGTGTATTTTGACCCTTGACATGAAGCAATTCTAACATATTTTACTCCATCTAATATGTTTCTCTAATGGCAATAACTTTATTATGAAGAACATCTTAATACATTTGGAAAATTAGGTAGCCTAGTGATTTAAGCGAGCCGATTGTAGAGCTTAATAGATGGCTTTATCAAAAAGGACAGTTCTCCCTACCTGTAGACATGTCTTTCTCCCTCTTTCCCCTCTCGGTGTTTTATTAGCTGATAAATATGTTTTCTTCAATTTTACCTGACTTATCATCTTATCTAGTTTCACCCAAAAGAAAGAATTTTCAGTTGTGATAAAATTACTATTCTTCACTTTTGTCGGGATACAATTTTGTCTGAGATATGAAGACTGTTCATGAATTATGAGTGGTGACTTTTTAATTTTCTTCGTGCAAAACAATTTAGTCTGTGCGTAACTTAAACACACTGTACATACACAACATTTATTTCAAGAAGATGCTCCGTTTTCACACCTAGCACACATGCTTACCAGATTGAAAGATTTCGCTATTACGATACGAAGATTTGGTGTATACTTTGATCATATATGAATAGCATGATAAAAAGACCAATCACGCTTTCACACAACCTTTTGCTAAGCAAATTAGTTTACCCTTCAAATAGTCATTGAATGTTACACCTTTAAAATTGTCAGTTAACCTTGATAATTGCATTTTTCAAGTATTGGTTTTGTAAGGATTCTGTTTGATTGGTTGGAGAATTTCATCGTCAGCTGACATCAGTTAGAGAACGATTGGAAAACCTTGGAATACTGGGTAGTTGTTTCGAACCCTAGTGGGTGCGTACTGATGAAGAGCCCCAAACTGGGACGAAACAGCTGTCCAGTACTCCCAGGTTTTCCAGTGGTTCTCTCTCATGATGAAATCCGCCAACCAATTACACTTTTAACTAATCACCAGCTGATTAGCGATAAAATAATATTCTTCTGACAACTTCCTCAGGTTCTGAAGTTATTGTTATTGTTATTATTATTATTCCTTTGGGTTCCGAGTAGAACATGGGGTTTTAACAGCACATCTCTCTACCTTGTCTTATTCTCTGCGATCCTCCTCTGCCGTCCTAACGATTGCCCGTAGTCTCTCATCTCCTCCTCACATGATCTCCTACATTTCACCCTCGGGAACTCCATTAGTAGTTCCCCATTCAGGTTACACTCGATGGCATTAGTGTTTTAAATTACATTGAATCAAAAGTACTGATAGACTACAGTTCAGAAGTTTTTGTCAGTGATAATATGCATGAAACGTAATACTGAACTGAATATCAGAAAAGTTAAGAAAAATAATGGAGGATTTATGAATCTACAGATTTTACAACAAGTCAGGGTAGCATCGATGGTTGGAGCTGTTTCTTTTGCACACAGAGCTCTGGTTGTTATAAGCAAATTGTAACTACCCCTTCTGTTTATTATGTTCGGTCCTTTGATAGTTTATTCGGTACCCAATAGGTGAGAGAAAAAGACTTTTCAATGTTAGCTTTTTAAACGAGGCTACCCACTATAAAACTGCTGGTGGCTTTAACTACACCTCTGTATAACCACATTGGTAGGTGTTTCTGAGCAAGAAAAGTTAAGTTTCTAAAACTGTCTCCACTGGAGAGTAGCTTACTGGCATTAAACTTCCCTTGAGTAGGCTTTCTCAACTGTCTTTCAGTGATGCACCTGACTAAATTTGGTGAAATTTTTAACCAGTAGTCACTTAACTGACTTCACTTATCCGCAATAAGATTAATACTTCAGAAAACTTCATATGAAAGCAAAAACTCAAAATTCAACCCATCATTACCATACTTAGGCATATAATATCATATTTCTCATAAATGTGGTCACATCTAGTGACACAAATCTGTGCACTGTTTTGCTCCACCTCTTCAATATATCATTTCCCTGTTCCTGTTTTATTTATGTCCAGGCTACTGTCATTTCCAAAGTCTTTTTACTCTGGACAGTTTCCAGTGTGTGTGTGTGTGTTTGTGTGTGACTTGGAGTCATATGGCACCCTCTGGAATTCATGATTTCAGAGCGTGACAGACTGTTTGAATATTCACATCTTCACACAGTAAACTCATTATCCGAAGCTTGATCTGATCCGAAGTTACCGTTGCTGAAGTGGTGCCTAACCCAGATTGAAATGACTCCCAATGATTGTGTAATTCAAGTATCGGTTTGCAGGGATTTGTTTGATTGGTTACAGGATTTTGTCATGAGCTGACATTGGTTAGAGGACCATTGGAAATCCTGCAGGGAATGCTGGACAGCTGTTTCGTTCTACTTTGGGACTCTTCAATGGTAAACACCCACCGGGGTTCGAACTCGGTGTAATTGATATCTCCTCATAACGAAATCGAGCTTGGAAGTGTGTTATTTTGTTTTACTGTCGGTAATAATTTAGCCTTGATTTAATTGAGTTACAATCTTAAATTTCTTTTATTTTCAGTTAGTCTACGATATATTTCTACGCTTTATCAGTTCACCGGATTTTCAAGCTGCATTAGGAAAAAAATATTTAGATCAACAATTTTTTAGAAATCTTTTAGAATTATTTAAATCTGAAGATCCACGTGAACGTGAAATGGTTAAAATGATACTGCATCGTGCTTATGGTAAACTTGTTACATTAAGACCAGTTATAAGACGTATGGTCAATAATATATTTCTACAGTAAGTTAATAATTAATAAATCGATAAGATATGTGTTCAGTTTATAATAAAACAGATTTATTATGAGTAGTATTAATCAACTTTCATGATTTAAACGTATGTGAAAGATAATGAAAGGGTTTAAACTCAAGTAAGGCTTCATCATCATTGTTCCAGACTCTGATCATTTAGATAAGTAGTTTCTTCTGTTGTAAATTTTGCTAATTACATAAGCATTAACCCAGGTGTAACATGTTAAAAGCCAACGCATTGAGTATATCGCTCAAACTTGATGGGGAAAAGAATGTGCTTGGTGAATTATGACAATACAAAAGAAAAATGATGTAATTTCAGGAAACAAAAGGATCAACAAACGATAGTATAAGCAATCTATAAACGTTCAACAAAACGTTGGATAAATGTGTCTACAGCCTCGATACTTAAATTTACTAACTCTGTGCATCTCAGCATTGAGGTTGCGACAATGAAATCAATGAATGGTGAAGTGAGAAACGGTTGGTGAATATATTTAGTATTCAAACTAAGTGGTGCAAAAATAATGTGCGTCGGTGATGTTCAGTGGTAGAATGTTCTTCAATTGCGCCAGAGTTTGGTGGTCCCCTGAGTTCGTGTCTCGATCACCAACTCACTCTCTAAGATAAACCTCGCTTATCTGGCAAGCTAATAAGGGCAGTAAAGAGGGAAGGGTAGGTGTGTGTGTGTGTGGCTAGCAGTCACACTACGTAAAGGTAAACAACACCACCACTACTCAAACTTCATAGCCCAAGCTCGAAGCCCTATTTTTCACACTCGAAACACAAAGAAATGAAAAGTACAAGAATGAAATACTAACAAAAGGGCATTTAACAGGAAGATAAAGCTATTATTGAAACTATATGTTATGCACTGCTGCTGAGTGAGTTATCAGAGTTTTCCCCGTCGCCAATTATGTTATGTACTCGTCAAGTAGTTAATAGTCCTGACGCAGAAAGAGGGAAATCAGAAGGCCACCAGGTTTACGATGATACTTGTATTTTCCAGACAAAGAAAATAAATGTCATACTAGTGTGTGAGTGAAATGGTACGAATATACGAAACGTGTGAACCAGAATCGTCGGTGGCACAGTGGTTAGGACTCTCGCCGACCATGCACATGGTCCGGGGTTCGAGCCAACACCGACGACACATACCTGATATCTATGGTCGGCCTGCGAATTTTGGGCTACCGATATCCACGCTGAAAATTCCACACTTGTCCCAAAAATACGGTGTGGAATCAAGCTGTAATCAAAAATAAGGAAAAAATAAAAATAACAAGAATAATAAAGCAAGAGTATGTATGAAAATGGCTAATACACATGAACCAATAAGATAACGTCTTACCATGATTGGTTGTAATGTCATGAGATAGCAAGGTCATACATTGTTTATTTAGTTAGTGGACAGAAAAAAGCATATTGTCAGTTATAATGAAATATCGATCCATATACACATAGCAAAATATAATAGACTGTCAAAAATAAACACACATCATGTGGGTACATATCACTATAGCTTAGTAGTCCAACGAAGCTTGCAAAGGACAACTGTTTAAGAATAACTTCCAGGTTGATTCTTCCCAGCCATATCATCATCAACTGAGAGGAAATATTTACTGAATGAAATGGTACATTAACTTTATCAAGGTATTCAAACACTTGGTAGTTACCTTGTCTCATATAACTTTACATGGTGCACTGTGAATGAAAAACTCACATAAAAAATCCACCAAATTAAAGAATTAAACCAGTGTCTGACGGTGTAAAAGCCATACAGGCACCAAGTTACTGGGTTACATTTTCACCCTTCTTGCAATCAATAAATAAAAATAAATGTTCTAAAGCATTGAGCAGTAATCATGATCGAAATTTACCTGAAACTGAGTACTAATGCTACTGGTATTATAAGCAATGACTCTGATAATGATTTTCGGTCTTCTGTCTTGTTTCCTAATCGTTGCAGCTCCAATATTACTTTTTATAAGAAGGCTTTGAGTCATTCCAAGCTCAAACTTTTTTTGTTTTATCGGACCAGAGAGAAGAAATTTTAGAAGTGATTTTCATTAGGAAAAAATTCGACTAGATTATATTACTTAAAATCAAATTCATAAAGAATCTATTTCTTCAGTTATTAAGATGCATTAATAACGTTCGTTTTAATGGCGGGGGGGGGGGCAACTTCTGTTTGTTACGATGAATATAAACTACACTGTTAATGTGGTTTTGTTATTTTAGTTGAAGGTGACTAGGAATGGAATCCAGGATGCTCATTTTGTCCTATTTGGAACTCACCCGCCGAATGTACCTGGAATCTTTAGTGAGTGAAGGTGGACCTAAGAGACGTTTGAGTGGAGACACCATCACTCCCACCCAGACGATGAGTCCTAAGTAGGACGAAACCCGCATTTTGGACTCCACTACTGGCCACCATCAAACAAACTAGCATCACATTGATGCTTAGACGTAGTTGAAGCATCCGTACTAGGAGCCAATATGTCAACGGAGGTAGAAAAATACTCTCCAACATAATCAATCAATAGGAAATGTAAACTAACCAGAAATGGCACCTTTAACGTTTTAAATAAAAACAGTTTATTCCATTTCATAATGATCAGAAGTAATAAGAATTAGCTAACTTCTAAGCTTGAGGTTACTAATGATTTCTAAGGTCACTGTTAGACTGTTCTCTGTTTTAAATACTTATTAATTTCTTAAAGTTTTATCAGTAAAATATATATGTTCACTTAACATTTTGCACATATTTTAGGATTTTCCTGTGTTGTGTCGACAGATGTGTTGTAAAAAGACTGCTCTGTCGCCAGAGAGAAATTTCGATATTAAATGGTTGGAGGCAATCGGCCACAGGAAGCCTTCGACCTAGGTTTCGTGCTAATTTGCACCCACCACCAGTCAGCAAGGTGTATCTGCAACCTTCAGGGAACTCATGTCCCACCCCTCTGAGATTCGAATCCGCATCACCTAGCTACACTAGTTACTGACTAGTGTCCAATCAAAAATATCCAATACAGTCCTACAGGAGGTCAATCAAGAGCTTGAATAGCTGACTGGTAACATCTCTGACTGCAGCACTGGGTGACGAGGGTTCGGTCCTCAGATGGGAGATGAAATTCCTGCAAGGCTGCAGTTACGCCTTGCTGACTGACTGGTAGTGGTTGCCAACTAGCACGAAACTTAGGTCGAAGGCTCCTTGTGGCCGATTGCCTCCAACCATCTAATATCAACAATTCAAAGTGCACTGTGATGGCAAGCCACCTAGAATAATGACCAAACTGCTAAACTTGATTGATGGAACACAGTCTGCACTAAACAGGGGACTAGACACATTACAATAGGTACACTGACTACTGGCCAACCAAACTATCAGTGAGGACTTTTGAATGCATAAAAGTCACTTGCATATAGATGCAATAAAGTCTAAAATAATCAGCAACAACAAAAAAAAAAACAACCGAAGAATTCGGACTAATTCCCATGTATACCAGTAAGTTTTTCATTCGAACAAAAGTGTAGTACATTTCACCATGTGTGTATTTTTCTTCTGAGTAAAAATTTTAAAAATTTCAATTTTGGAAATATCTAAAAAAAAGCAACAACTCACTTTGAAACATTGTATTGATTCAGAATGCCTTGGATTTAATAACACCATAATCGAAATGTTGTTTTTTTATACCTGTAAATATGTATGTGATTACATGGTAAATAAAATTTGTCCTGATTCAATTACTTTCAGATTTATTTACGAGGAAGATAATCATTGTGGAATAGCTGAACTTTTAGAAATTATTGGCAGGTAAGATAGTAGTAGTTACAAGGCGGCGCTAAGTTACGAAATTTCAATGTGCAGAATTGTATCTCTTAGATTATTTTTTTTTTATTATTAAGAGTTATTTTTGTAGGGATTTTATTTATTTCAAGTTTGATATCAATTAGAAGATCACTGAGAAACTAGGGAGTAATGGACAGCTATTTCGTCCTAGTTCGGTACTCATCGACAGTACGCATCCACTTAGGACCTTCCGGTTACAAGGCAAGCTTGTAGATCATTTAGACACTAAGAACGACTAAATGACCCATGAATTCTAACGTGTGTCAACGTCATCGACGAGTATTTGTATTCATGTCCAACATAGTGAGTGTCACTGGTCGCGATTTCTCACCACAGCTTCAGGGAACTTCATCCTCTGGTTAGTCATTAGTGGATATTAGATTAATTTTGAAGTGATCGTATGCAGGGATCTGTTTGGTTTCAAATTAGATGACGAAATGATTCTGGCCAGAAAGATTTATTCAGCTCTTTTTTAAGTCAAGTTACGTTGTTCAGTTGTGATGAGTAAACAGCTTCACTAGGTTTTACATCAGTGTACTAACTTGTCCTTAACTCGCAGACAGAGGGAAAGTCAGGCGTGTGGCTAGTGACCCTACCCTGGGAAATAAATCCAACTGCTACGTATTCTTTGCTACGGGCTGGTGAAAGACTTTAGCTGATGTGTCTTCCTTCGGTGAAAGCAAAAGTAGGCGCAGAGATGCGCAGTGTCCGCTGTTCAAACTGTAAACGAAATGAAGAAACATGGCACAAAAGTGCTAGGAATCTGTGGGATCATGTGAAATGGAAATGGACTCTTCAAATTGTTAACTGGAGAGGCAATGATCTACTATAGTCATCCAGACGACAACCATGAACACACTTAGGCAATCGCTTTCATGATGTCGAAAACGACATTGAAGGTTCTTATGCAGTTAGAACCAGTCTCCTCCAGAATAATGACACCAAGGTTCAACTCATAAAACAGGAAAGTAACTACTATCCAATGATACACGCCTACAAGACAAGAAAGAAGACTACTTAAGACAACTGGAGACAGTAATGGACAAGATCCATAACGATGATATCGGAATCCTAATGAGTTGGTATGAATACTGGATTAGGAACACACAACATAGGAAGAGAATTCATTATGGGTAGGGATACTGAAAACGGTGAACTCTCCGCAGACTTCTGGGCCTTCAATGACTGGATGATTGAAGGTAGCTTGTATAAGCAAAAGGATATACACAAAGCGACATGAGATTCACAAGGAGGACACACTAAAAATCATACAGACTTCGTCTGAATTTCAAGAAACTGGGGACATAGATTACTGGACGTTAGATTGAGTAAAGGAACATATGCAGGATTGTATCATGCAGTAGGTTTATAATGAGTAACTCCCAAGTTCCAATGAAGATACTGTCGGCACATCCCTAAGAAAAGCGCTCCCCCCTTATGGATCAACAACTGAAACTTTCAAATTCATTCAATAACTACGATTGTGTAACCTTTAAAAATCGTCCTCACGTGGGCGGCGAGTTGGTCGTCCAAGGGTGACTTGGAGGAGGTCATGCGAGGAGGAGATGAAAGCATGTGGACAGACCTGGAGCGGGGTGAAAAAGTTGTCAGAAAACAGAAGGCAATGGAGGCGCGCAGCTGAAGCCCTATGTTCCTCTAGGAACTAAAGGATACAATAATAATAATAATAAGTAAAAAGGATGTGAATTAAAGAATAGGAAAGACGCTAATAGAGACATGCTGCTTACAGACAATTAAAATGAAAACTCTTTATCGGATATATCAATGTATTCCAAATTATGCTCCTTGAAACGACTTAATATCAGTTGGCATTTTCGGATCATGACTTAAAGGACTGAATGTGATGCGGATAACAGTACCAATTCAAACATTATTGTCGATTAAAATCAACACAGATAAGACAATTCAAGCACAAACTCGTATGTAAATGTTCTCTGATAGAAATAATCATATCGAATGAGAAATGTACTATAGATAAGCTAGAAAGTATATAATGCTGAGCATTGTTTATATCAACTTGCATTTTCCGTTGACTGACTCTGTTGGACTGAAATACTCGGTCACTGTACATATTGTAGGCTTCTGGGACGGATGCTTCAACACTGCATCAAAATTAACATGATGTTAATGTAAGCAATAGCAATAATAACTGATACCTGATGTACAAGAGGTGGCTGGTGTGACACTGTGCGTCGGTGGCACAGTGGTTAGGACTCTCACTGACCATGCACATGGTCCGAGGTTCGATCTCCTGCCGACGAACACCTGATATCTATGGTCGTCCTGTAAAATTTAGGCTACCGATATCCATGCTGAAAATTCCATACTTGTACCTAAAATACAGTGTGGAATCAAGCTATAAATAAAAAATAAAAAAAATCAATAACGTTTCAGTGTTTGAAACGACAGATTCTGAGTTCGAGTCTCAGTACAAACTGTATCTCTCTCACTATGGATGCGGACACATTTAGTTGACGAGTCCCAAATGGGACGAAATGCACATCCTGGATTCTTCTACCACTAATCGCCATCAACTAAAATAAAATCAAGATAAAGAGTGGATCACAAAGATTTTTTCAAAAAAATGAATGAAACTTTTAAAATATATCCATTTCATAACCGAACAAATGATTAATATTTTTTACACAACTATAACTTTGAGGTTTTGGTGGTAGTAATTATGAATTGTAGTGAATCTGATCATTATTTCAAAACACGCAGCAAATTTATATATTTTTTTCACTATGCAAAAACTTCTCCTTCAAAATAATAAATTTACATTGTTGTTTTAAATTTTTCCAAAAATGTTTTTTTCTTCTCCTTGTAAATTCGTTTTATTTTCACACATAACTAGTAAAATAAAAAGTGGATTTTAGTTAGATTGAATTATTTCTATGCACAGAATTGATGTAAATACATTTCGTTATGTGGAACATGGAAATATGAGATGAAATTCAGAATACAATTTCACTAAAGTACACTATTTTCTAGTTAAAACATATTGATGAAATGAGTGTAAGAAATCAGAAATATAGCATATGAAATTAGACTTGACAATGCTTTCTAGAAAGACAATAAAAGCCTTGTATACGAGCTCGCCTTATAACCAAAAGGTCCTGGGTTCGAATCCCGGTGGGCGCGTACTGCTGAAGAGTCCCACACTAGGATGAAACAGCTGTCCAGTACTCCCAGGTTCTCCAATGGTTCTATAACCAATGTCAGCTCATGATGAAATCCTGTAAACCTTGTCTCCCTATTATATCATATATTTCTCAGAAGGAGGCAACATTTAAATCTATGAAATAATATGAATATGACTGTCTTAAGAAATGTGTTCCTATTTCATAAATCTGTAAGGTATTACTTTGACAACTGTGACATATCATGACTTGTACCGCTACAAGTCTGAGGAAAATGTTAAAATGCTTTCTATCAGTTTAATGCCATGTATAACAAAGGGTATATGCTGCTTGTCAAGAACCCTGTCTCTTTACCAGTAGAAACGATGTATAATCCACTCGACCAAGGTTGGCTACTGAAAGTGACGCATGTATGGATGGGATGTGAAATATCATTATAATATTTAGATGGTTGACTGCAATTATAACAGGAATCCCTGGATCCAGACTGCATGCTTATTGGTATCACCCATTTGCAAGGATTATCTGCAGCCTCTGAGATTGAAACTAACATCACCCGGTGTTACAGTTGGGCCGGATATTTTAAACAAGAATGATATAGAGGGAACTTCAGTTTCTTTTAATATCACAATAACATCTGCTTGATGAGTGCCAATAAACACGAAATCCAGGTCCAGGACACTGCACTGACTGACCTAAAATTAATTCAGAAAGTGAACATATGTAGAAAATCTCTCATATAGTTTACCACAATTCAAACTGATTGACAGAATCCAGTCAGCACAGCTTAGGACTGGATTACGCTACAGTGACCAATTAATCTGACCAAAATTCGTTATGGTTGAATGTAGTGTGAATAGGTCTTTTTGATTGAGAATCAAGTCTGACCATTATATTTACCCACAATTTATCTATTAGCCTGTTAGTCAGATATCTGACCACAATCTGCCTTATTAGTCTGTTAGTCAGACAAAAACAAATTACACGTCGTCTCATGACGGATGTCAGACAATCAGAACCTAGCAGTTAGAGTACGTCTACTATTCGAGCCTTGTGACTGGATCAATATGTGCCATATATTTTCGTATTTTAGGTCACTTTCTCTGTCTCTCACTTGTTTTCGAAATATACGTTTTTAGCCCTACTGTGTGAATCTTCTGTATTTTATTAGTTAGTATCAAACGTTCATGTTGTCAATTTGCATTCGTACTCAAACTTGGCGACACCATAACAGATTGGTATAAATGTCCTACTTTTTTTTCCGATTTCTTGTTCAAAGCAAGATTTTAAAAATGGCATTTTTGAAAATACGTTAATTAATGTAGCTAGCTGATACACACACATTCACATGTATATAGATTTCTATCTCTTCTCGCAATTTTAAGTGTCAACTAGCGAAAGAAAATCAAAGTGAGTTTCTTTTAGCCCTCAGCCTTCACTTAAAACATTGTATAGACAACTTTAATCTAGAAATTTAAAAAGTAACTGAAGGGCGGCGGCCTTTCAGCAACATGTATCTCTGGGAGCGAACCAACCAGAAACCGACTGTGAAACAAATCGGCAGGAAGAAGTGGAGATGGATTGGCCATACTCTGAGGAAACCATCAAGTCAGTGACATCACTAGACAAGCTCTCGAATGGAACCCGAAAGGAAAGTGGCGAGTTGGTCGTCAGTACAAGGGTGACTGGGAGGAGATCATGTGAAGAGGAAATGAAAGCATGTGAGCAGACTTGGAACCAGGTGAAAACTCTATCAGAGAACGGAACGCAATGGAGACGCGCGTCTGAAGCCCTATGTTCCTCTAGGAATTAAAGGAAACAATAGTATAGTAATAATAATTAAGTATGGCTGTTCACTTCCCAAAAAAGGATCATAACTGATGGATTTGTCGAATTTCGATAGGACTTCTCAGCTGAATACTCTACATACAGTGATAAATATGTATACATCACGCATCGATGGTTTCGTGGTATAATGCTCGTTAACTACACTCGTAGTCCAGAGTTCAACTGCCGGTTTACGAACTCCCAAACCTCCCTCAACTGGCCGTAAGTCATGTAAAGAGAAGGAAGGTTAGGCGTGAGGTCAGGAATCCCACCCCATAAAAAAACGCCACTACTACTGAAACTTCAAAGACCAAGCCCAATGTTTCACTTGGAACTCAAAGGGAAAAGTATAAATATTACCGAGTGTAGAGTACTCCACTGAAGAGTACTACAGAAATCCGATGAATTCATTAAGTTTTGCTCTAGTAAAATTTGTCATTTATTTTAAATTTGTATCGGGAAATAAATATTTTCAGCTAAAGAATAGTTGATGTTCGACTGGAATTTTTATTGATATTGTTTGCTCATAGTTCTAATCATCAGCTTTGAAAAGAAACCATTGCTTTCTGACTATTATCACTGAAATAAATCGTAGTAATCTATGTTGAATACTGTTTTAGTAAGTTTGTAATCACTGCATCGTAATTAGACCAACTGATATGAGTGGAATTCACGAGGCTGTGAAATTACATCGATTGAGATGTTTAGGACATGTTTTACATATGCCTAGTCATCGCATTCCACGACGGGCAATCTTAGCTGGCATACGGTTAGACTGGGAAAGAGCTAGTGGTGGTCAAACAAAAACATGGCACCAGCCAATGAAATCCACAACAGCTAGTCTAAGCCATGTAGGAAGATGTAGACTTCCTGGTTGGGGTCCTCAGAACGGTAAAAACCAATGGCTAGCGACAATTGGTGATATGGCTCAAAATCGTTCTCAGTGGCTGGCTGGTGCAGATGCATCCACTCCTTGTGACTTATGATTTCCAGTGAAACTATACTATTCTTCGTTATTACTATTCCTTTGTCTCACACCTCTGTTTAATGTCTCTATCATGCATTTCTTCTAATTTCTTCTGTTGGTTTGTGTGCTACATGGAGTGTGGCGACTTGAACTAGAGCACATCGGTGCAAAGTTCTATGTCGAAAACAGACAGACAGTGGAATTCAACGGTCAACTGGAATTGATACTAATTAAATTATCTAAAAATAAGGATTCTAACCGTTTTGTTTGTGAGATCAGAGTGATAATCATTCGTATTTTACCAGTCCAAATAGTCCATGGTATGCAAAGATTGAAGTCTGTTGTTTTCTGTTCACATAGTAGTATAGGATGCATGTGATTAATACAAAGTGTTTCCACCACCTTTAATAACCTTGAATAATAGTTATGATTTAGAATAATTGAGAAACTGTCGTTATTATCGGTTTCGTGACCACATATTATTAAAGGCTTTGCATTGGATGATGCTGGATTTCCATTCAAATTAACTACATTTGTATTTTCCATGTTACTTAATAATCATTTGGGGATATCTTCCTTCCGATGACATCGGAAACTTCTATTGGTTTTACCTACATATGGATCACTACAATGCCAGATGAATTTGAAGATACACTGTAAAGTAGAGTTCACAGAATTTCGTCCTTTAAACGTAGGTACAGGAATCAAAAGTGTTCGAGAAGTAAGGAAAAGGACGCGGCGTAGAATGTACGCTTGATTGCTGACTGAAGCCTTTGAAGCTGTCAACTGCCTGCTCCGGTCATCCTTGAATGGTAGTGCAATAAAGACAACTTTCTTTGCTATGGAATCCGTCTTTTCAAGGGACAGTCTGTCTTTATTGTTAAATGCAATGAAGTTTATCAAATATTTTATTGGATTACTTACTATAAAGCAATCATAAGGAAACTAGGAAATGATCTAATCTTAGAGCATACGTCTTCTTAATGCCTTACTTAAATTTATCATGGAGATTAACTTTTTCATTTGGAGTGTTGATATTTTCCATTATGAAGATAATTTTAATATTAGTGATTAATGTTTACTCAATAGAGATATATCACTGATAGTTTAATCTATGGGGGGTGGGTGTAGGGAAGAAATCCATAAACTTTAGAATCTTAAAAAGCAGATACTCACTGTTTAATCAGTAGATCTCGATTAAATCTTAGATTGATTTAGCAAAAATCCCCACTTGGATATTTAAAAGGCAAAAATATTGAGCGAAGAATATTGTTTCCTGGATTTCCAAACATTATTCTGCATAATTAAGCAAAGAAAAGAGAAGATCTGTTTGTAGCTCCGTTTTAGTTCACTTTGTTAGGTATTGAAGTTGATGTGAACAAAATATTTACAGTTATCTATCATACTCCTATCAATCATAACTTTACCTTATTGGGTTTTTCGTTTCTGTATTACTAAAATCATCGTAATCCACCTTAAAAAAACCGAATTTACATGTTCAGTAGACCATTATTGCTTGGTTTTAAAAACCTAACGATTTCTCCATCCCCCCCCCGTCGAAGTCAGTTAAAAGATAAAATTGTTTAGCTACATTAATTTTCTTCTTAATTTTGTCTGATATTCAGTTTAGCATTATATTTTTAAGCATATTATCCCTTACACACAATTTTAAGCTGTAATCTCCTCGTAGTCTTAACAACTCGAAATTATTTACAAACAATCAGTAACACTTATTCTTTGGATGGCATATGTGTGTGTGTATATATAACTGTAGGACCTGATGCAGAAATCAAATTAATTCACTGTGAAACTTATGAGATAGGATAATGCCAATGACTACGAACTCTGCAATTTACCATGGCTTCATTTCATTATTATTATTACTACAATTGTTATTATTCTCTTGGATCCCAAGGGGGAACATAGGCTTTCAACAGCACATCTCAATTTCATCTGGTTCTCTGTAATGCTTTTTGGCCGGCTCCATGATTGCCCGTTACCTCTCATCTCCTCCTCCTCCTAGTCTTCAGACGATCATCTTCTGCATGCCACTCGTATTTTTCCACTCCTATTCCTCTCGATCGATGGCTTGGCTCTTGATGTTACTCAAAAGTCTTCTCAGCATATGTTGAATCTACCTGCATTTTCTTAGGCATTTTTCTTAGACAATAGGTTCTTGGTTGTTTAGCCAACGAAGTCGCTTGTTGCTTATCCATTCTGACCAGATATCTGGTTTTCAGTATAGAACGAATGCGCCTGTGGATGAAAGTCTTCTGCAGACAGTTCGAAATGCTTTTTGTGACACCTACACCAAGTCTCCGATCCATATAGAAGTACCTACTGACTTGATATTAGTGTTGGAAATTCGAATCCTGTTCTTTATGCTAAATACAGTAGTTTTGCATACTGATTTCAGATTGACTGATTGGATTCAACATAGAACTTTGCACCGATGTGCAGCACATCGAGTCGCCACACTTCATTCAGCACACAAAGCCAGGGAAGAAGAAGAAGAAAGTAAAAGGAAATGCAAAACAGAGACAGTAAACAGAAATATGAGGCAGAAAGAATAGTAATATTGAAGAACAATATAGTTATATTGGCTGGGTATTACAAGTCACAAGTAGTGGATGCATCTGCGAGATTCAGAATGATTTTGAGCAATATCACCAATTGCTTCCAGGCTTGATTGGTGTTTACTGTCCCGAAGACCCCAACCAGTCAGGAAGTTTACATCTTCCTACGTGGCTTAAACTAACTGTTGTTGATTTCATTGACTGATGAAACCATGTTTCAGATTAATGAAGTCCTATCTTGATTTTCTGATCCCGCCTTTGATGTCTTCATCAATGCCCCACTTGCAGTTGAAATGATAATGCCTAGATAAGTGACAGTAATGACCTCCTTCAAATATGATTCTCATTGACAGTGATTGTTGCTTGTTGTTTTTACTGAGGAGGTACTTTGGCTTGTTAATTGATTTCCATCAATTCATCATATGATGCTATTTTAAATTTTATAAAGTTAGTTGGATAATTTTTTTTTTCAAATCATAAATCTTACCTCTCTCTCTCTCTCTTTTATTATTTTCCATATTTTCATTATATATTTTATAGTATAATCAATGGTTTTCAAACCCCATTGAAAGATGAACATAAACAATTTCTACGCAGAGTATTACTTCCGTTACATAAATCACCAATAATGGGTCATTTTCATGCTCAATTGACTTATTGTACAACAGAATTTATTAAAAAAGATTCAAGCTTATTCACAGTGGTAAATATATAAATATATGTATATATGTTTCCATTATATTGTATAAAACAATGTTTCATGTATGCAAATTTTAATGAAGAATTGGTTTAATTGTTTAATAAAACTGGGTCAGTGAATAAAAGATAGACAATTTAAAAAAAAACAACTTATATTTGTGAAAACCTTAGCAACACAGAAATAAGTAATTCCTAAATTCTTTAGTTAGTTGGGTAATAAAGGATTTTTGGAGACAATTCATAAATTATCAAGTAGGGATTTTGTTTGATTTGTTGTTGGATTTCATCATGAGCTGAAATCAGTTGAAGGTGAGACCAGTGACTCATCGAAGAAGACATCTGTGAAGTGCTGGCGTTATGTCATGAATTGGCAGAAGTTAGAATTTTGGGGCTGACCATTTGATTGGGTTCCAGTCGCTTAATGACCTACGGCCTTGTTTTGTAATCCTAAGATTCCTGAATTTTAACTTCGGTGGGTGAGTACTGATGAAGAGTTACAAACTAGGACGAGGCAGTTTTTCAATACTCCCCGCAGGCTTTCCAATGGTTCTCTAACTGATGGCAGTCAGCTCATGATGAAATCCTCCAACCAATTTATAAATTAGTCATGATTCTACAAATAAGATTAGATGAAAGATGTGACTTCCCACTCTTACAGGTATCATTACTATTTTAACTTGAATATTTCACTAAAGAAGTTCAAAGTGTTCTCCGAAAGAAACATTGACATTATTCGTGTTTCAACCTGGTGCAGAGTTGTATCATTATAACTTCAGTATATGTCCACATTATTATTGTTTCCTTTAATTCCTAGAGGAACATAGGGCTTCAGACGCGCGTCTCCATTGCGTTCCGTTCTCTGATAGAGTTTTCACCTGGTTCCAAGTCTGCTCACATGCTTTCATTTCCTCTTCACATGACCTCCTCCAAGTCACCCTTGCACTGACGACCAACTCGCCACTTCCCTTTCGGGTTCCACTCGAGCGATGGCTTGTCTAGTGATGTCACTGACTTGATGGTTTCCTCAGAGAATCGCCAGCCAATCCATCTCCACTTCTTCCTGCCGATTTGTTTCACAGTCGGTTTCTGGTTGGTTCGCTCCCAGAGATCCCTGTTGCTGATCTTTTCTGGCCGGCCATCTGATCTTGAGTATTGAGCGAAGACAACTGTTGATGAAGGTCTGAAGTTTGTTGGAGATACTCTTTATGACGCGCCAAGCCTCTGATCCGTATAACGAGTAGCACTGATTTCACATTTGAGTTGAAAATCCGGATCTTATTTTTGATTCAGAGTGCTGTTGACCTCCACACAAACTTGAGAGTAATGAAAACTTGTCTTGCTTTTCCGATTCTGGCTTTGACATCCTCGTCAGTTCCGCCTGTAGTTGAAACGATGCCTCCCAGGAATTTTCAGCAGTTATACATTTTTTTTTAAATATTGAGACTGTCAGAAACCTATTTCCATAAAAAGTGAACGGACCTCACCGACCATGCACATGGTCCGAGGTTCGATCTCCTGCCGACGCACACTTGATATCTATAGTCGGCCTGCAAAATTTGGGCTACCGATATCCATGCTGATAATTCCATACTTGTACCAAAAATACAGTGTGGAATCAAGCTGTAAATCAAAAGTAAAAGTAAAGTAAATAAAAAGTCAGCTTTTGTAGTGAAGTGGCATAGTCGGTATTTATTATTTATTCTTCCCTTGTGTTCTAGATAGAACACGGGACTTCAAAAGTACATCTCCACTTCACCTCGTTTTCGGAAGTCCTTTTTAGCTGTCTCTACGTTTGCCCGTTAGGCTTTGTTACCTCCTGCATGTCACTCTCTGACCTGACGCCCATCTCGTTATTTCTCCATCGGGGCTGTGTTCGAGGCGGAGAGAGGGTTGATGTGATGTTAGCCAAAAGTCTCCTCGGTTCATGCTCAGTCTATCTCTACTTCTTTCCGCATACTTTTTGGTCAAAATGTTCTTGGTTGGTTCGTTCGCAGAATTCCTTATTGTTTGTCTTTACTGCCTCTCTGCTCTTCAGTACTCCAGGAAAAGGCAGGCGTTGATAGAAATGTGTATCCTGTTGGATATGATTTTTGTCAGGTGTTCGCCAAGTCTCTCAAGTATAGAAGAATAAATTCGAATCTTTTTCCATATGTCGGGCGTTGTAAACCTCCACACCCAATTTCAGAATAATGAAAGTTCGTCATGCTTTCCCAATGTTGACTGGTTTTGACATTCTCATCCATGCTGCCTGTAATTGAAACGATACTACCTTGTTCTGGTAAGCGAAAGAGATGATGAGGACTGATACCAGTTGTTGTTATTGGTTAGGCATATTCATCACCTCTGTCTTCTCTCTGTTCACATGAAATCTTGTCTCCGCTGATTCTTCTACCCACTTGTTGGTTTTTGTCCACAGATCTTTAAGTTTTTTCGACATTCTCTAAGTCCACGTCGTCCAGACCCTTCTTGTCGATCTAGTGTTTGCTCACTTTGTCCTCCACACACCCACCCACGGTTCGCTGTATGGTCCAGTGCACCGCCTCCTGTATCTGGAACCACACAATCTAGGTTAACAAAAGAGGTGACCGATTTTAAGCTTCTCGCATCCATTGTGTCTTGTGTTTGCCATTGTTATTGTTAATTAGGTGCCTTTATCAACTGTCTTTTTAATGTTCACTTGGAGTCCTACATTGGCCATCTCTTCCGTCAACTTTTTTCTTTCTGTATACAATTGGTGGATGGTGGCTAGCAGTGGAATCCAGGATGCGCATTTCGTCCTATTTGGGACTCGTCATCTGGATGTACCTGCATTTCTCAGTGAGTGATGACGTTCCCACCGAAGCTCGAACCCAGTGCCCATAGTTTCAAACGCCAAAGCGTTATCCACTAGACCACTTGGGCCACGAGAGCCACCTCTTGTGCAACTATGGGTACTGGGTTCGAGCTTCGGTGGGAACGTCATCATTCACTGAGAAGTGCAGGTACATCCAGCTGACGAGTCCCAAATAGGACGAAATGAGCATCCTGGATTCCACTGCTAGCCACCATCCACCAATTGTATACTAATTAAATGCCCAGACATCGTCGAAGCATCTGCACAAGAAGCTGACATGTCAACCTGAGACCGAGCACTTCGGTCCAAACAATCGACGGGAAAATCAAAAAAATTCAATTCAATTGTTTCTTTCTGCTTGTAAATCTCCAACCTTGTGAGACGCGGGATGTAGTCACATAGATCATAAGATTATTTACTGTCTTTTAGCCATTGGATAAAATGGTAATAGCAGAATACAGTCACAACTGATGTTTTATTGCCTTCATGTTAATTCAGTTTACTAAGTGAGCAAAGATTGTGTTCTGGTGTACTTGTGTTTTATAACTTGGATGGTTTACTTGCAATGTCCAATTACTATAAAGTCCAAAGTCTTCTGGTGGATAATTCAACCTAAATATCAGTGGGCTACGGGAATACATGAACTCGATCTCATATCCTCTTATCTTTTTCTGGTTGACTTTTTAAATACATGAAGTAAGACTGTGGTGAGAGCTGGCTGCTAGCCAAACTGGTAGACAGTAATTTACGTCAATGTTTACGTCCCCAATATTGGTCGTGAGAAAAATATGAACGAAGACTGATTCAACAACCATACACAGCAGATTTTGCGTAGGCAGACACAGTTAGCACATAGATGATCTGATATTCAAGAAACAGCCACAAAGAGATGCAAGGTTAACTTTCAGTGAGAAGCAACTAACCAGAAGACTGTGTTTTTCTGCTAACAATAATCTATAATGATGTACATGAAAATGTACAAATATGTGTTGATTTCCTTAATAAGCGATTTGTTGCCTGGCCCTTGTTTTCTGTTGTTACAATATGACAAGAAGTAATAAATTATGGAGTGTAATTGATGGTTGGATAGTCAGAAAATAATTTTTAATTCTATGGGCATATTGTTATGCTAGATCACAATTATTTGATCATATCCAAAATACAAAATGACTACCTCCCTCTCCCTATTTCTCCTCCTTAATACATGATACTTTTTTTTCAGATCATTCATGAAGGTCTACTACGTTTTTGGCCTAGAGTAAATTCAGTAAAAGAAATGCTTTTTCTTAATGAATTAGAAGCTTGCCTTGAATGCACTGGACCAATTGAATTTCAAGCTATTATACCTGATGTATTTCCACGTTTGGCTAAATGTATTGAATCTTTGCATTTTCAGGTGAGTCATATATATAAGGAAATACCTTTAAAATCCTTGTCTAATCATGTGAGTCCTGAATAGATGTCAAAACGACTTACTTTGCCAAACGAAACATTGGAATTATTTATTTCAATTTCTGTGAGATTGTATTAATATAACTTTTAAATATGTCTACTTCTCACTCGACGCCCGATTATTGATGGAACTGTTCGATCAAATCTTGATCACAGTTCATATAAATTCATTTAATGCGTTTAATAAAAGCTACTACGTTAATCTATTCCCATATGCTATAAAGCAATACCGTATATATTTAAGTTTCACATCTTATTCCTAATATATATATATATATGGTGAGAGCAGCCTGCTAGCCGATTGGTTGACATTAATCTACGTCAATGTCTAGGTCACTAATATGGACCGTGAAAAAACATGAACAAGGCTGTTTCAACAACCAATCACGGCAACCTTAAACGTGGGCAAATATGATTCGCAGATAGATGGCTCCACTTTCCGAGGAACTCGTAAACAACCAATCAGAAGACTGCGTTTGTCTACCTGACTAGGCTATAATAATGTATGTGAAATTTATATAAATACGTACTGATTTTCGTAATAAAGCGATCTGTTGCCTGGCCCTTGTCTTCTGTTGTTACATATATATATATATAACACTCAAAAATTAATGGAAGTATTTGAATAATAGCAATTACAAAGATTTATTTCAAGTTTGATCATGGATTGTTGTCGGTGAAAGCTATTTAAAACCAGAGTGTACTGGACCATTGTTCTGTCCTAGTTTGGGACACACCAGCAATCTGAACGCATGACCTAACCGCTAAGGATCGAACCAGGACCTTCAGGTTCCAAAGTTGCGTGGTATATATATGTATGTAACGACAGAAGACAAGGGCCAGGTAACAGATCGTTTATTGAGAAAATCAACAGATGTTTATAGATTTGTATGTACACTATTATTCGTAATTATTAACAGAGAAAAAGAGTTCTGATTGGTTGTTTTCTCACTAAAAAGTTAATCTGTCATCTGAAACCAATCAAATCCCTACAAACCAACACCTGAATACCAATGAGATGCTCACTGGCGACTGGCCCTATTCAGGTAGGTAGTTACCTGGGTTCCTGTGCGAAGTCGTGACCAGTAGGGTGCAGCGGGTCGGGTGTGAGGAATAATACTCGCCGAAGACATTGGCTAGCGGTCGCGCTATATCGTGAATTGGCAGAAGTTAGAATTCAAGGACCATTGGATCGGGTCCCAGTGGCTTAATGGTATACGAGCTAGCTCGCCTTGTAACCGGAAGGTCCTGGGTTCGAATCCCGGTGGGTGCGTACTGCTGAAGAGTCCCAAACTAGGACGAAACAGCTGTCCAGTACTCCCTGACTGGTTTTCCAATGGCTCTCTAACTAATGTCAGCTCATGATGAAATCTTGAAACCAATCAAATCCCTACAAACCAACACTAGAATCTGTCATCTCTTTGTCGCCGTTTCTTTGAAGGTCAGACAATATGTATATATATATATATATCTACGATTCGCATCCGCCCACGCAAGGTCTTTGTTCTTGTTTTTCTGATGACCAAGATTTGGGAAGTAAACATTGATGTAAATTGCTGTCTACCATTTTTGGCTAGCAGACAGTTCTCACCACATGTGTATATACATAGATCGCGAACTAGCAGAACTTAGGGTTCATAGACCACTGAATTCCATTCTCTTGTGGCTTAATAGTCAACAAGGCTGCCTCATAAGATGAAAGTTCTGGGTCCGACCTCCCGTTGGAGTTACGGGTGTGTATCACCGATTAGTCCCAGATTAGGACCAAACACTTTTTTAGTACTTCCCTGTTTTTAAGGGTTTTCTAGTCCGTATCAATCCGTGACTAAATTTGATGACAAATCAAATCGCTACAAATAAACTTGAAAATTACATTGATAATTTTATTCTTTTATTTTTGATTTCCTACTATACTCACTTAACAGGTTTCAGAAAGAGCGCTTATGTTTTGGAATAATGAATATCTCTTATCATTAATGTCAGAGAATATAAATACAGTCCTACCGATTATATTTAATTCATTAGCAGAATCACGAAATCATTGGAATAAGTAAGTATAGATATACATTCTAACGTCTTTATCACTTGAATATCAAAGTTCATAGTTATATAGATTAGGCTTTTTTTTTAATTTTTTTTTGGATACAGCTTGATTCCACACCGCATTTTTGGTACAAGTATGGAATTTTCAGCGTGGATATCGGTAGCCCAAAATTCGCAGGCCATCCATGGATATCTGGTGTGCGTCGGCGAGGGCTCGAACCCCGGACCATGTGCATGGTCGGCGAGAGTCCTAACCACTTTGCCACCGACACATATTGTATATTAAATTATTTAACGATATATTATAAAAAAGCTGACTGACTCTGAAACAGATCACCTTGGGATACAGTTCTCACTTTAGATTTAGGGCATATTAAACTGTATCATCATGGTGTGTTTATTGAATGACGACTAGTGAACATTTTCAGAATCTGGAAGATGATACAGAGCGAACACATTAGCTCATTTGCCAAGATCTTATAGACATATCACTGAAAGTCGTTAACCATCGATTCTTGATGTTCCGAGGACCACATTGAGGTAACCTGTAATCGCCTCCATGTTACTCAAAATAACATTCATTGAATTCAGTGATTAGTGAGATATTTTGGTCTACCAGTCCTAAACGTTTCTTGACGTAACCTTACTTTATTTTTTTATTTTATTATAGTTTGATTCCACACAGTATTTTTTTGGTACAGGTATGGAATTTTCAGCATGTGATATCGGTAGCCCAAATTTTGCAGGCCGACCATAGATATCAAGTGTGCGTCGGCAGGAGATCGAACCTCGGACCATGTGCATGGTTGGCGAGAGTACTAACCGCTGTACCACCGATGCTAGGAAGGCAATAACTCAACATGTTTTTGATATGTTCTAGCCACCTTAATGGATATAGATTAATAATTTCACCCATCTAGATTGCCGTATTGCTCAATCTCATTATTAACACGTTGCTTTGCCTAGTCTGAGCAAGTGAACGAAAGTGCCTACCTTCAAAAACCTGTAACCTCTTTATGCCATCCAGTTTTGTTTGTCTTGTCACTTCATGTCACAAACTGAGGAGTAAATGGATTAATCTAAAATCACTTTCCATCATAGATAGCCATCAGCTGGTATGGAATCGATTTCCTGTGGGGTAGATTTTTTGAGATTTTAATGAAAAGCAGAAGTGAGAACCTGAACTAGTTCGATCATATAATGAAAATTACAAGTTACTGATTTTTAACTTACTAATGTTAAATGTGCGTCGGTGGCAGAGTGGTTAGGACTTTCGCCGACCATGCACATGGTCCGGAGTTCGATCCCCAGCCGACGCACACCCGATATTTATGGTCGGCCTGTAAAATTTGGGCTACCGATATCACATGCTGGAAATTCCATACTTGTACCAAAAGTATGGTGTGGAATCAAGCTGTAATCAAAGTAAAATAAAATAAATTAATGAATAATGCAGCAGTGCCGTCTTCAGTCATGAGCGAATAATTACTACTCAAGATGCTTAAATTGGAACGAAACAGATACTTGGCGTCCTGTGTCGATTTTCTATGTTTCTCCAAAATGGCGTCTAAATGTTAATATCAACTACTTAGTAACAACTTTTTACAATCTTCAATTCTGTTCCTGAACTTTAAGTTCACAACACCTCATCAGGTAACATAACAAGTTGTTGAATCTTTATTTTTAAGTGAATATTATTACTGAAATTAAAAAACTACTGGTGTGACAAAACATATGCTGATTTTCCGAACCAGTCTATAATTAACCTTGATCATTTGATTGGAGGCAAGTAAGTAGAAAACTGTCAATATCTCAGTTATTAACTGTCACATTAGAATACAAGAAATATTCCTTTTCATTCTAGTTGAAAAAGTTCATTATATGAAAATTATTCAGATTAACTTTAAAAGTACACTCGATTTGAGATTTTCCGACTTTAGACAAATCAATAAGAAGACGTAATTTGTCTGAATCGTGTAATGTATACGCGCAACAAATTACGAACAATCTACGTTCAAAAACAATTCATCATCACACTAAACCTTCTTTGGTAAACTTTGTTTTGATATCAGTCAGGATAGATGTACTATTATCTCTGTTATTTGGTTTATTGATCCTTATTGTTATTTTGACCTTCAATATGTCCTCTTAACTTGAGCTAGATTAATTTTCTCACCTCTTACCTCTTTATTAATTTCATATATATTCCTATGACAAGTGACCAGACTGTTCGAAATGTGTTTCGCAAATACGTTATACGATTCAGACACATTACGTTTTCTTATTACTTTTTTTTTACTGAATTTGAGATTTTCCCGTCGATTGATTGGACCGAAGTGCTCGGTCTCGGGTTGACATGTCGGCTTCTTGTGCAGATGCTTCGACGATGTCTGGGCATTTAGTGGATGGTGACTAGCAGTGGAATCCACTAAATACCCAGACATCGTCGAAGCATCTGCACAAGAAGCCGACATGTCAACCCGAGACCGAGCACTTCGATCCAATCAATCGACGGGAAAATCTCAAATTCAATAAAATTAATATGACCCGTTGCACAACAGGTAGCTGTCGTCGCCCAAGTGGTCTAGTGGATAACGCTTTGGCGTTTGAAACTATGGGCACTGGGTCCGAGCATCGGTGGGAACATCATCACTCACTGAGAAATGCAGGTACATCCAACTGACGAGTCCCAAATAGGATGAAATGCACATCCTGGATTCCACTGCTAGTCACCATCCACCAATTAAATTCTTATTACTTTGTTTAAATTCATAAAGGGAACTTAATTGTTTTAAATTTTCTGACTTGTTAAAGAATCTTCGACCTAAAACTTTCACATAGTAACAATTCTAATATGAGACTGAATCTTGTGAACAGTCATCACTTAACTGCTTCGTATTGATTAGTTCCATTTCAAATCACAAGATTACCTGAGCCGAATTAATTTGACAGAAGGCTTAGTAGGGCTTGTAATCCTTGAGGTTAGCATGTGTATTTTTGAACTATTTAATACTTGATATGTTTAGCGCTAAAAGGCTGAACATTGTTCACCTAAGAGTTGATTCATTTACTCTTTATTTTCTTCAGAATACTGTGCATTTTATTATTCTATATTTATTTATCTATCGTTTTCCCACGAATTCTTTCTGTTTCAACATTATTCTGCTTGAAAAATTCTTTTTCAGATTGTTGTTAAGAATTGCAGCGTCTGGAACAATCAAACTTTTGTCTAAGATTCTGTATTGTTTTTTGATTGGACACTAGTAACTAGTGTAATGTGTCTAGTCCTTTCTTTGATGCAGACTAAATTATATCAGTCAGGTTTGTAATGTGGCCACCATTCTAGGTAGCTCACCATCAGGGGTGCACATTGATTTGATAATATTAGATGGTTGGAGGCAATCGTTGCACATGCGCCTTGCTGACGAGTGCCAACTAGCACGAAACCTAGGTCCAAGGCTTCCTGTGGCCTTTTGCCTCCAACCATCTAATATTCTATAATGTCTTGTCATTTATCAGTTGATTGTCATCATACTGAAAATCAACATGAACTGAACAGTTTATTAACTTTCACAGCTGTGTCCCGCTAGTTCGAAAGCAAAACTTAGTACGTACCTTATGATTAGGAATTCAAAAAATCTGTTCGAAACATACATTAGAGGCTGAATTAAGATCTCAAATTGATATACTACTGGGAAATGGATATCCCCCTAATATGTATCTATAGAAATATGTGAGAAAAACCACTGAAAGTTGTAATAATTCCTTAGAAAACTCTGTTCATAGACTTAGAATTCAGAGGCGACACTGAAACAGTATATTCTAGAAACTGCCTCCCCAAATGTGTGGAGAAGACATTTGAGGCAGCCATCTTACGAATCATATTCTCCAGCAGGGTAGTTAATCCAATCATTCTTTAAGGATAACAAACCTCTTTTGGCCACCTCAATGTGTATTTATCCGTTTACTTGTTCCTGTGGCCGTGTCAAGTCCACAAACGTATTCTGGAAGACTGTCCAGTCTGGTCAGCGAGAAGGACACCAGTAGCTCTACCGTCAAGCACGTAATGGACTGTAGATATCGAGCACTACCGCAAGACTGCTTCACAGGGCTACGCAGAGTTCCTCAACTTCTGCTCCTTTCTTAATCTCCACTGTATCATCGTCTTCCAGATTACACCTTACAGTATATATTAGATTTTCTAGAATAAAGTTGCTAGTGTCTGGCTAGTTTATGAATTCTTTGTTAAATACGATTACGATTGTACAGCTGTTAAAAATGGTTTGTCGACAATAAAATTGTCTTTTTAAGCATTGGTTTTGTAGGGATTTTGTTTGATTGCGTGGAGGATTTCATTATGAGTTGACTGACATCAGTTAGAGAACCACTGGAAAACCTGGTAGTACTGGACAGCTGTTTCGTCCTAGTTTGGAACTCTTCATCAGTACGCTTTGCTCTTTAAAGCCTTCTTTTGCTCATAACTTAGAACTCAGAACTTAATAAATTTGACTGGGGAGAAATAAATATATTTGCCTTTCTTATTTATTTACAGAACTGTTCATGGATTAATTTGTAATGTTTTAAACTGGGCCATTGAAACAGATCAAAGACTTGTTGAACAGTGTTCATCAAAACTGACAGAAGAACGTCAAAAGTGAGTGATACAAATCTATTTTTATGTTTCATTTTTATCTATGGAGTGTTTTTTTCTTATTTACTGAGTCTGCGACTTCACACCACATTATTTCAGAAAATAAGTTAGTGTAACTTTAAATGGTCTAATGTGCTTTTTGAAGATTATATCCCTTGATTCTATATTCCACATTTGTGACTGCATCGACCATATGTTACCAAAACGAGCGAAAAGACAATTATTAAGGGATTTCGGAGAATCTCAGAGAGGCCACTTTTAAAATTTACATTAAATTTATAACAGCATAGAAGATGCGTGACACAAGCGATGAGGACGACAATTTTTCATGAATTTCACTATTTTATACTTTATCATGAACTTTGCATCATTGGGGCTAGGTGACTTCATCAAACATTAACTTGCAGAGAAGTTAATCTTTTCAAAGTTTCAACTACCTGAATGTGATTGGGCTGTTGGTGGGTTTTATCGAAATCAGCTTATTCTATGAATAAGTAACCTTTATTGTAAACTTGATGTGGAATTGTTTGTCGCTTTCCATCGGCATAATAATCTATGTATTGTCTATATTTTCATATGTCAGTTGGCTCTGCAGCTAATAGTCAAAAAACATGACATGATATGACGATCATTCCCAAAACAAATTTCGATCACCAACTTTAAAGAGTTTCATTGAAACGCCTCCATAAACGACCTGTCACATGGCCTACAGTGGATAGAATTCTGTCTTCCTCCCAAAATATTCTCATGTGGCCCCGCGTCCATAGCCTCTACCAAGTAAAAGTCTTACTGACTGCGTTCATTTGGTGGAGGTGTTCGTTACAATAGTGATAGTGTAAATGCGAGCGTCAGACGCCTACAAACGGACTAATGGATCTATAGGTCTATCTAGGGAGGAGGGCTGGAAAACCCTTATACCGAAGCTATGGCGAATATGGGCTCCATAGTCCGAACGGATTGAATAACTTATGAACTTGTTTTGGTTACCGTCCACTCTGGGAGCTTAGCTCCTGACACTGCTCCACTGCCTTGTTGTTCAGACTTCAAGTCAAAGGCCCAGGAGATGGCCTCTTAAGAAAATCCGTTTTCTCGGGAATGGGTATCATGACAGCATCTCACCACTCGCAAAAATTATGAGATTTTGCGTGGCACATACTTCTGATCTTTACAATGTCCCACATTTGTGTTTGAATAATGATAATAAATATTATTACTATTGGGACGGAGAACATGCTCAGAAATCCCAAAAGACGTTTATTGAGACATGAAGCTTAAGGCAAATGAGGGACAATGAAAAACTATTCAAGGAAATTAATGCCCCGAAATTAGGTAAATGATAAAAGTCGCATGGTAATGCAATGAGCTAAGATCAAAATGATTAACTGATGACGAACAGTCATCCTTAACTAACGACCCAATGACATTCAAGTCAGCAGAACTATTCAATAAATTCTCATTTATGAAATTCGCAGTTTGTAATTTTCACAATTCCCAGTAGCTGAAATTTCATCATAGTTCCCTTTGAAAACTATAGTTTGAGACTCTTCACCAGGTTTCAAGTTCCGAATCTTCATGCTACAATTTGAGCTTCCAGATCATTCAGCCCACTTGTAACCAATGTAATCCCTGAAAACCAAAGCTCACTGGTGATTGGCTCTATGCATTAAGTTACTTGGAGTTTAGGTGAAAGCTTGTGACCAGCTGGGTGCACTACTTTAGATATGAGGAGAGTTACTTGCCGGTGACTTTAGCTGATGGTTGCGCTGTGTATTTTGTGAATTGGTAGAACTTGGAGTTCATGGGCCATTATACGATTGGTCCAAGTCAGCTTTTGATCACATTTATCACCAATCAAGATCATGGAAACCAATACTTATTATTATTATCATATCCTTTAATTCCTAGAGGAACAGAGGGCTTCAGCTGCGCGTCTCCATTGCCTTCTGTTTTCTGACAACTTTTTCACCCCGCTCCAAGTCTGCCCACATGCTTTCATCTCCTCCCCACATGACCTCCTCCAAGTCACCCCTGCACTGACGACCAACTCGCCGCTTCCCTTTCAGGTTCCACTCGGGCAATGGCTTGTCTAGTGATGTCATTCACTTGATGGTTTCCTCAGAGAATTGCCAGCCAATCCATCTCCAATTCTTCCTGCATATTTGTTGCAAAATCGGTTCCTGCTGGGTTGGTTCGCTCATTTCCAGAGGTCCGATCTTTACTGGCCGGCCATCTGATCTTGAGTACTGATCGAAGACAGCCGTTAATGAAGGTCTGTAGTTTGTTGGAGATACTCTTTATGACGCGCTGGTCAAGTCTCTGATCCGTATAGTGAGTAGCACTGATTTCACATTGGAGTTGAAAATCCGGATCTTATTTTTGATTCTGAGTGCTGTTGACCTCCACACAGACTTGAGAATAATGAAAGCTTGTCTTGCTTTTCCGATTCTGGCTTTGATATCCTCGTCAGTTCCTCTAACCTGTAGTTGAAACGATGCTTCCCAGGTAGGTGAAGGAGGCTGTTTCTTTCAGGTTCCTCCCATTTATGCCCGAATTTCCAAACCAATATTTAAAGTACATTTTTTAACTTCAACTTTGATGTGTTAAAGTGAGTTGGTAAAATATTTTAAAAAAATTAGCTGCCATAGTTATACTCTTCATAATGTTCACTGAAACATGCTTGTCTAAAAATAAAAAATCCTTTCCATATTAATTTCCTGCTGAGATTGTCTAATGTAACGTAACTTTGGTTGGTTTAAAATTGTATCAATTCAAAAATACCAATGGCACTAAAAAAAATTATTCGATACGAATACAGAAGAAAAACGCACTGTCTCGGCTTATTAATGTGGGTATAAACCAAATCTGTCAGTTCCGTCACTCGTATAGTTTGCAAACTGAGAGTCCATAGATATACTTACAGGGCATAGATGTACGTAACTGGCTGATGTCCCAGTTTTATTCTTCACAATGGTAGTTAATAATAATATTAATAATAATGATCTACTTTATTCCAATAAAAGTACTTACAATACAGAATGGAATTCTCAGTTTTTATCACACTATCGCATCTGATTTACCCAAATTGTAAATAAAATTAACAACAGGAATTTCTCCACATTTAAAGTCAAAAATATTCGAAGTACAAAAAGAAAATAATAAATATAATAATAATAATAATAATAACAGTGGATTTGTTTCAAACAGTATTTGTCGATTCAGTTTGGAAATTTAAGCATGTTATAGATTATTGAGTCTAATGTTCTGTTGATATAACAAGGTGAGGGGAAAGACAAAAAATAACCGTTATTATACAGTTTAAATGATGATTAATAAAAATCTGAATGAATCTTCTGAAGAAGCTGTGGCTTACACAGTGAAAGATCTTGTTTTGATTTTCTTAACACGCTGGGATTAATTTAAATAATTTATAATGAATCAATCTGACTCGGCGCTCAAATTATTCTAGGAATTTCGTAACAGCTACGGTCTGGAAACTTATGTGCTTAAATGATGTTTACACTCATAAGAAAATAAACAAAAACAAGAAATTAAGAGGATTATGAATATAAGAAGAACAATAACAAAAAAGCTTGGTGGATTAAGGATGCAGAAGAGATATTATATTATATATTATATCTCGTATGTTTTTTCACCGTACACAGATAGCAATTTTTAAATTTTTTTTTATTACAGCTTGATTCCACACCGTATTTTTGATACATGCATGCAATTTTAAGCATGTGATATCGGTAGCCGAAGTTTTTCAGGCCGACCATAGATATCAGGTGTTCGTCGGCAGGGGATCGAACCTCGAACCATGTGCATAGTGGGCGAGAGTCCTAATTGCTGTGCCACGGACGCTTTAGTATGTAGTGAACCACTGATAACCAAAGTGTACTAGACAAATATTTCATCCGAAAATGAGCCTTCTAAGAGCAATCGGTAGTTATATTCCCAAGACTTTTAAGTTAGTTACCAAGTTCGCAGTAAGCAAAGCTCTGAGTCACATGTCACCAAGTATGTCACATCTTCTAAAGTTCGCTAAGTTCTTACACTAAAGGCTAACATCTCATATAATAAAAATTCTGTCCATATAATTTTTTTTTATACCTGAACAACTTTTATCACTGTAATCTAAGAACGAAATTCTAACCGTCATTATTATAAAGGTTTTTGTATTTCCCAATGAATGAAAAACAAAACGATGCTCTTGTTTTTACTGACATTTCGCTATTTAATGCTGCTTCTAATAGCTTTATCATAGTAGCAATATTAAATCAGAATTTACAAAATCCACTCAGCATATATATATAACAAAGAGTTAGGGGGCGGGTGAGAAAATAGACTTAGGTCATATTGAAAGTCGAAATAACAATGAAGATCACTAAACCAAATGACAAAGGTAACAGTACGTCTGTTATGATATCAAAATAAAGTTTACTAACTTGATCATCGTTCGTCTGTCTGGGGTCGTTTTTCGTTGTCAAGTTGGTCAGTTGGTTAAGATAAGAAAATCAAGTGTAGATTGTTGGATTTGATCAGTGTGTAGAATTATGAAAGTAGTGTGTGTTTACATAGTGAACTTGCTTATCACATTTGCGTTGATTTTGCTACTTCATGGGGAAAGGGGGTGTTGTAGCCAGGTCAGATTCTGTTTTAGTCCATCATTCCTATTCAGTTCAGACAATTTGGATTCCACTTGATATGAAGTGCTTCTGATGAAATTAGACGTTCTTTGTGATTTCTGAATTGCATTTTCTGGATTATTTCAATATTGTTAAAATCAATTTTGTGGCCTGATTCTATAGCGTAGCGTGTAGACGACCTATGGCTGATGATTTTTGAAGTTTTTCTAGTTCAACTGGATTTCTCGGTGGTCGAAGAGATGCTCTACGGTGTTCATTTCTTCTGATTTTGATTTCTCTCTGGTGATGTTTGTCCGATGTAGATCGCATCACATTCCGAGCATTTTATTTTATAGACACAATTGTGAACTAGGTTTGGACATATATAATTCTAACCGTCATATTTATTTTAGTATTTTTATAAGACAGACTACTTTGAACTTCAAACTTACCAATTTACAAATATCCTGATTCAATTTTCTTCTTATCTACAAAATGAAAAAAAAACTTAATTTAGGAAAACTGCACGTCTACAAAACCATGAAGCCTACTGGAATCGAGTAGAGTTAGCTGCTGAAAAAGTTAAACAATCCTCAGTGAATTATCCAGTCAACATGAGAACATCATCAATATCTGTATCACTTTCTGGCATTAAAAATAAATATCCAATGTCTAACACGTCAAATAATAGAAGTTTAACAGGTTTAAATGAATTCTATGCAAAACTCTCGTCTACAACAACAACAACAACAGCAACATCATTGTCATCGTCGTCTTCATTACCATTTACTCCTATTGCCACCAGTGTGCATACTACTTCCGGGATTGGCAGTAGTAGCAGTAGTATAAGCAGTGGATTCACTGGAAATGCTAATCTTGTAAATAATCCAAAACTTTTTCCTTTAAATAATATGAAACCTGGTGAATTAATCAATACCATGAAAGAGAAGCCTAATCCTAATAATAATAATACTGAATTTTCACAAACATCTTTTAATCCGATCCAATCTAATCTATCTGGATCGTCTTCTTCAGTTTTAAATGCCTTACCATCATTTACTAACACTCAGAATTCATCATCACTGACATCGACAATACTGACAACAACATCAACTACAAATAGTTTATTGAAAGAACAAACTACAACAATATCATCAGTTAACAAAGTAGATTTGCAGAGTCAATCAAATGTCAAACAGCAAAGTCAGACATCTACTACTGGAAGTGATGTTCATGTTGTAAAGTCTAGTTCAGCAAATACAGCCTCAACTAATTTACTCAATTTCAGTAGAAAATTACGTTCACCAAAGACAAGTACAACGTAAGTCTGCTAGTCTATATCTTTTTTAGCTTATTTGTATCTTATTTACACTCATAGAATATCTTCATTTTATGTCGTTATTGAATTCAAGTCTAGTAGCTTCAATGACGAATTCACTAAGGAGTCTAGGCTGTTGAAAACCTCAAAGATTTCACTTGGGATTACTTCAGAATATTGCTAAGTATAATAATGACAGATATTTCTTACACGTCATGTCTTTCAATAACCGTTTAGTGGAAAGTAACTGACCCTAAAAACCTGTATTCATCGCCAGTATAAACTTCTTATCATCTTATTCTGCTAATGATAGCATTAACAGCTGATTACTTATTATGCTGATTATAGCAGCTTAATAAACTGTAGTGCTAAGTGAAGATCGTTTTCCCTTATTTATGCTATTCAGGTGGTCTTCAAATATTTTCCTAGCCATTTAAAGAATTATTTGGTGTTTACCAAATGCAGTACTCTTTGATATTCAAAAAAAGACTAGCTATTGTCTAAGACAAAGTTCTAGAACCTTTAAAACGTATATATGGTCGATAATTTCACGAATTGACATTATTTAGGGAACCATTGGGGCACCAAGAAGTATAGTCAGGCCTTCTCCTCCTACTTTATAACTCTTAACTGGTACGTACTTTTTTGATGACCCCCCTCTTCCAGAGATTGAATCTTAGAACTTCAGGTTACAAGATGATCAAGTTGGATTCCAATAACTCTTGAATTCAAACCTCTGTCGATTAATGGAAAAAAACCACCACCCTTCGCTATACGGGAGCATTTGCTTATCGAAGCGTCACCTAACCAACTGTCAGGAGATAACTTCTATTTTCATGTTATTCAACTGCAAATACACAATGAATTTTATTAAAATTCAGGAAAAAAAAGATGCTGAAAAACTGATTAATTCTTTAGAAATACTGACGATATTGAGATATTACTTCAACAGCTAATATAGAATTAATACAATAAAAAGTTGTTTTGTCTTGTGGGTTAAAGCGATGAAGCCACTTTTGTATAATCTCTTCATGGCTAAACAGAAAAATTGCCGTAAATTTCGTACTCATAAATTTGCATTATTTTATCATTTATTATTGCCTTAGAGATATATAGGGCTTTACCAGCACATCATCATTTCACTCCATTCCCTCCAGTCCTCTTAAGCTGACTCTATGATTACACATAAGCTCTCACACGATCTCCTCTATTTCACCTTTCGTATGTCCTATTCGTATTCCTCTCGAGCAATGAACTGGTGCTTGATGTTACTCAACGGTCTCCTTAGCATGTGTGTGATCTTCGGCATTGCCAACGGGTGAGTCAGTGATCTACTCCGGTCACCCAGAAGATAACCACACGCACACCGAGGGCGTGGCTATCATGATGTCACCAACGGCAACGAAAGCCCTGATGCAATGGGAGGTGATCTCGTCCAGGATAATGACCGCCAGATTCAACTCCAAAGGAAGGAAAGTGTCAATCATACAATGTTATGCACCCACAAACAACGCAGACCCCGAAAAGAAAGGAGAATTCTATAGACAACTACAGGCAACAATGGACAATACGCAAGTTGGTGACATTAAAATACTTATGGGAGACATGAACGCCCAACTGGGACCAGACAACACAGGAAGGGAACTCATCATGGGTAGAGAAGCTCTCGGAGAAATGAATGAAAATGGAGAACTCTTCGCCGACTTTTGCTCCTTCAACGAACTAGTAATTGGTGGCAGTGTATACGAGCACAAAGATATCCACAAGGCTACATGGGTGTCACCAGATGGGCAAACCGAAAACCAAATTCACTTCATCTCAATATGCTCAAGGAAGTGGAGGCGCAGCCTACTGGACACAAAAGTAAGAAGAGAAGCAGACGTTGGCTCAGACCACTATCTCGTACAAGGGACAATCCAAATCAAATTAAAAGCTTTCAGGGAAACAGGAGCTGCAGATAGACCACAAGCCAAGTTCAACACTCAAAAACTGAAGGACCAAGGTACAAAAAACATCTTCATTGCAAGCATAAAGGACAAAACCGACACACAAATCAACACCAGCGAAAAGGTCAGCGTCGAAAAGCACTGGGACAACTTGAAAACGGTGTGGAGTCAAACCTGCATGGAAGTTCTAGGCAGAAAGAAGAGACAGGACAAACAGTGGCTCACTATGGACACTTGGAAACTAATCGAAGAGAGAAGGACAGTGAAACAAAAGATTATCCAGTGCACGGACGAGCAACAAAAACAGGAGTTGAATGCAAGCTACAATACACTGAACAAAAGAGTGAAGAAGAGTGCCAGGGAAGACAAAAGAAAATATTATGAAACCATGGCAAGTGAAGCAGAACAAGCTGCAGGCAAAGGAGACCTCGCCACACTCTACCAAACAACTAGGAACCTATCGGGCAAAAGTTCGACACAGATTAAGCCAGTAAAGGACGACAATGGAAAGTCAATCACCAAAGAGGTGGATCACAGAAAACACTGGGCTGAACACTTCAAAAGACTTCTAAATCGACCGCCACCTACAACACGTCCAGCAATACCAACAACGGAAGCAGAACTACCAGTGAACACTGACCCCCCGACGAAATCAGAAGTCCTGAATGCCATCAAGATGCTAAAAGCTGGGAAAGCACCAGGACCAGATGGAATCCCAGCAGAAGCTTTGAAAATAGACTCAGAGACAACAGCGGACTTGATGACACCACTACTGAAGAAGGTATGGAAAGAGAGCGAGATACCTGATGAAAGGCTACTTACTCAAACTCCCAAAGAAAGGAGACTTAAGTCAATGCAAGAACTGGCGTGGAATTATGCTCCTGTCCATTCCAAGCAAGATACTAAGCCACACTATCCTGGAGAGAATCAAACAAGCCATTGGATGAAAAACTTCGACCGGAACAGGCCGGATTCAGGAGAAACAAATCATGTATTGATCAAATCGCCACTCTACGGATCATCATTGAACAAAGCTTGGAATGGCAGTCACCTCTCTCACTCAACTTCATCGACTGTGAAAAGGCCTTCGACAGACAGCGTCGATCGAGAGGTGATTTGGCAACTACTTCGCTACTACGGGGTCCCATCGACAATTATGCATCTCATACAACAGTTATACGACAATGGTGCATGACAAGTAATCCACAACGGTAAACTTACGGAAGTCTTCGAAGTGAGTACGGGAGTGCGACAAGGCTGTCTACTATCACCAATTATCTTCTTGATTGCAGTAGATTGGATAATTCGACAGACAACGGCAACCAACGAGGGAACAGGCATAAAATGGACTGACACAAAAGACTTGGAGGATCTGGACTTCGCCGATGATATATGTTTGATTTCCCACAAACTGGAAGATATGCAAGTGAAAAGCAACAAGTTGGCAGAAGAAGCATCGAAGATAGGACTTCAAGTGAAGATAGATAAAACAGAGGTGATAAAGATTCCTGGCCAACATCAACAGCAGCAACAACAACAACAGACGACAATCAGCCAGCATAAATGGGAGGAACCTGAAAGAAACAACCTCCTTCACCTACCTACCTACCTACCTGGGAAGCATCGTTTGAACTACAGGGAGGAACTGACGAGGATATCAAAGCCAGAATCGGAAAAGCAAGACAAGCTATCATTATTCTCAAGTCTGTGTGGAGGTCAACAGCACTCAGAATCAAAAATAAGATCCGGATTTTCAACTCAAACGTGAAATCAGCCAGTGCTACTATACGGATCAGAGACTTGACCAGCGCGTCATAAAGAGCATCTCCAACAAACTACAGACCTTCATTAACAGATGTCTTCGCTCAATACTCAAGATCAGATGGCCGGCCAGAAAAGATCAGCAACAGGGATCTCTGGGAGCGAACGAACCAACACAGCGGGAACCGATTATGCAACAAATATGCAGGAAGAATTGGAGATGGATTGGCTGGCGATTCTCTGAGGAAACCATCAAGTCAGTGACATCACTAGACAAGCCATTGCTCGAGTGGAACCCGAAAGGGAAGCGGCGAGTTGGTCGTCAGTGCGATGGTGGGGTGACTTGGAGGAGGTCATGTGGGGAGGAGATGAAAGCATGTGGGCAGACTTGGAGCGGGGTGAAAATGTTGGCAGAAAACAGAAGGCAATGGAGACGCGCGCCTGAAGCCCTATATAATAATAATATTAATAATAATAATATGTTCTTGATTATTTGGTTACCGAAGTCGCTGTTGTTGTTTATACATTCCTACTAACAATCAGATTTTCCGTATGGAACGAAGCCAGGTGTTGATGTGGGTCTTCAGCAGGCTGTTTGAAATGTTTTTGGTGACATCTTCATCTAGTCCCTGAACCGTATAGAAGTACTGACTAACTTAATGCTATTTTTGGAAATTAGAATCTTGTTCTTTATGTTGTATGTAGTAGATTTCCACACTAATTTTTGATTAATGAAGATCTGTCTTACCTCTCCGATACTGACTTTGAGATCTTCAGACCAGTGCTGCCAGTAACTGAAATAATTGTGTCTAGATAAGTGAAAGAATTGACATCCTATAAGTCTCTCCGGATGGTATTGGTTGATGCATATTGTTGTTAGTCAGATGTCTTCATCACTTCTGTCATCTCTATGTTCATTTGAAATCCTGTCTTTGGTGCTTCTCCCACCAACGGGTTAGTTTTCAACTGTAGATGCGTCGGTGACACGGCGGTTAAGACTCTCACCGATGGTCTCGCACATGGTGTGGGGTTTGATCCCCTGCCGACAAATACCTGATATCAATGTTCGGCCTGCAAAATTTGGGCTACCGATATCACATGCTGCAAAATCCATACCTGTACCAAAAATACAGTGTGAAATCAAGCTTTAATCAAAAAATAAATGAATGAATAAAATAGAACTTTGAATTTGCGTGACATTAGAGACAAATCATCTGCGACGTATAAATCTTCTGTCTTCTCACTTTCTACAGCCTGCCACATGATCCAATCTATCGTACATACATTCGTAGAGAT